AAAATGCTCTAATAGCCTGCTAAAACCAATTTGGGTTGTTTAACGACCGGTCAACTCATCTTCTGGCTAAGGAGACACTGGTTCGAACTCAGTTCACTATTGGAGATGTCCTCCAGTTTTAACTGGCACTCGACAACAAGTAAAGGGGACCTCTTCAGCTTAGGTACTCCGTACATGGAACCAATTTGCGAGCTTTAGAGTAACATTTGTACCCACAATGGAAGTTTTGCATCCCCAATCGGATAAAGAACAAAATAATTACTCTGAAATAGCTTAACGAGACTCTCTTTTGTAGGCCGACGGTTTAATAAGTCACGGAGCTTTCTGCAGCTGAGGTGTTTGTCCCCGTAGGCCGATTTGGTTCTTTCCACAATCTTACCCCACCACTTTAAATCGGCGCCACAGTTACATACGCGCACTGACGCGATTCAACGCGTGCTGCATCCACTACCTAACACATCAGCATCACCTTCTTTGTCGTGCGTGCCTTTGCCATTCTGAGAACCTATCACCCAAGAAGTCAACGCCATTCTCTTGATTCCTAAATTACCTCTTAGGCCAATATAGGTGGCGTGTCTCCCCCGATAGACGAGATGGCCCCGGCATCATCACGTCGCCGCCGCCGATCTGATACAGACAATACCGACGACGACCACGACGAAGCCCATCACGGACACCGCTCATATGCTGATGATATTGGCTCTTCTAAGCGCCCTAGGCTTGATCAAGATGGTGATCACGACGTAAACCCCGAGCAACCCCATCACGGGAAAGTGAACGGTGCACCGAACGGAAATAATATGGATGATGGCTTTCAACCAGGCGCCATCGTTAGAGTGAGCGTACAAAACTTCGTCACATACGAAAAGGCAGAATTTCTGCCTGGGCCTCACCTCAACATGGTGGTTGGCCCTAATGGAACTGGAAAGAGCTCTTTGGTCTGCGCTATCTGTCTGGGCCTAGGCTACAGCCCGAAACACCTTGGTCGTGCCGGCTCAGTGAAGGAGTTTGTCAAACACGGAAAAGATACAGCCACAATTGAAATCGAACTGCAGAGGCGACCGCATCATCGCAAGAACTACGTAATCAAGGTTCAAATTCGCCGAGAACAGAACAATCAGAAATGGTGGTTCAATGGTAAAGAAACCAGCCACAAGGAAGTGCAACGGTTGATACGCAAGTTGAAGATTCAGGTGGACAACCTGTGCCAATTCCTTCCGCAGGACAGGGTTGTCGAGTTCGCTGCCTGCACACCCGTGGACCTTCTTCGGGAAACTCTTCGCGCAGCCGCCCCTGAAGAAATGCTAATCTGGCAGAAGCAACTTCAAGAATTAGACAAAGATAAGAAAGAATTAGAACAGGCTACACATGTCGATGCAGAGACTCTAAGAAACTTAGAGAACCGACAACAAGGTCTCCAAACAGACGTGGATAGGATCCGGGAACGGGAGCAAGTCATAGAGCAGGTGAAAAATCTCAAGTCAGCCTTGGTTTTTGCCAGGTACTCGGAGGCTCGTACAAGACACAAAGATGCCAAAGAGCGGAAGAAGCTCGCGGAGAGGTCTCTAAGGCGCCTAGAACACGACGCCGGCCCTTCCTTACAGGCCGTGAACGAAAAACAGCTATATGCCCAGCAAATTGACGAAGCGACGTTGGCAAGAAAAACATCATTGAAGAGCGCGGAAGACGCTGCGAAAAAACTGGCGCGAGATGCAAGCACCGCCTCGGACAAACTCAAAGAGTTCGAAAATAGTCTTGACGCGGAACGCAAAGGATTTGACGCCAAGCGAAAGGAATTGGCCCACTCCAAGTCAAGAATAACCGCTCTCCAAGCTGATATGAGAAACCAGCCAGAAGAGTTTAATCCTTCCGACTTTAATCAAAAAATTGTTGGAAACCTACCCTCGCAGTTGTTGATATTCGCTAACTACTTGTCTCCAGCGAGGAGAAGAACACAACCTTAGAGAATTAGAAGGAGAGATACGCGAAGTGTCTAGCCAACGCGAGGAAGTAAAGAACAAGGGCAAAACTATGAACAATGAGATCCGGCAAGTGGAGAGTAACATCAAGTCATTGGAAACCCAGCAAGGTCAACAGCTCAACTTCATGCGAAAGAACTTCCCGGAGCTAGCAACAGCGTGGGCATGGATCCAAGAGCATCAAGGAGACTTTGAAAAGGAGGTTTTCGGCCCACCCATGATCAGTTGTTCCATCAAGGACGAACGATATTCGGATCAGGTGCAGTCGCTTCTTCAAGGAGACGACTTTACATGCTTTACAGCACAAACAAAGAATGATTACAAGAAGCTGTCAGACGAGCTCTACCGTGTACAAAGCTTGTCTGTTGTTATTCGATCTTGTGCTCAGCCTCTCAATGCCTTCTCAAGACCTGTCAGTATAGATGAGGCACGCGACCTGGGCCTTGACGGTTTTGCCATCGACTTTCTTGAAGGACCCGAACCTGTTCTAGCAATGCTCTGTGCTGAAAAGAGAATTCATCAATCGGGAGTCTCCCTCCGGGATCACAACGATGCTCAATACGATCGTCTGGTGAGAAGCGGCAGAGTTAACTCCTGGGCAGCCGGTAACCAGTCTTTTATCGTCCGGAGGCGCAAAGAATATGGACCCCAGGCCATGACCGCCGTCACCAAGAACATTCCACCCGGGAGATTCTGGACCTCACAGCCCATCGACGCCCAAGAGAAGCAAGAAATGAACAAGCGATTGGCTGAGTTGAATGGTGAAAGAGACATTCTGAAACAGCAATACCATGAGTTGCATGAGAAAATCCAAACCATCGAGGACGGACGGACCAGCATTCATGATAACATTGTAAGTAAAGACTGCGGACTGATTCCATCCGCATTGATGCTAATGGGGTCCAGAAACGACTCAAGTCAGAAAAGAATGCCCTGCAAAAAGAATACCAAAAATGGCAGTCTCTGCCTGAGAAGATCGGTGAGAACCACAGAATGATGCTATGTCGCAAATTTTACTGATACGTTTGACTAGAATCCGAGGAGCGCTCCAAGAGAGCTCATGAACAAGCCATGCAGGATGCACGCAAACGAATGGTCGACATTCGTTACGATTGGGACGAAGCTGTGCTTCGTCGGGCTGAGATTGTTCTTCGCCACAAGGAAGCCATTGAAGACATACGAAGAGCACATCAGGCACTCCTCGAGGCCGAGATCCGCAGTATTGAAGCCTATTCTGATGTCGAAGGTCTCAAAGGACGAAATTCACATATCATGCAGCGTCTTGACGCTGAAAAGGAGATATTGCAACAGGCCACCGATGACGCCAGTCGGGCGCGTGACGAGGGCAACCGACTCTCCGACGAGGTCCAGCAAGTCCTTGAACATGAGCCAGAGAAGCGCGAGCTATTTTCACAACTCTGCGAAAATAAGTCTTCGCAAAATATCCAAGAGGAAATTGGAGGAGAAGAGGCGAAGCTTGAAGTGATACATGTCTCCAATCCTAATATAATACGGGAGTTCGAAAAACGCGCTGACGAAATCGATCGTTTAACACGAAAGATAGCTGGTTCCAACGATCAGCTGCAAGGGTTCAGCCAACAAATCGACGAATTGAAATCCAGATGGGAACCACGACTTGACGAACTAGTTTCAAAGATCAACGACGCTTTTGCATACAACTTTGAGCAAATCAGTTGTGCCGGTGAGGTTCGTGTTCACAAGCCAGAGGACTTTGACGCCTGGGCTTTAGACATCATGGTCCGTTTTCGGTACGTCTTGCTCTTCCTTTCCTGAATTATCTTTGCCTGGTTCTAACCTGTGACTCCCAGTGAAAATGAAACTCTTCAGCAGCTAACAGCACATCGCCAATCCGGTGGCGAGCGAGCTGTCTCCACCATCTTCTTCCTTATGGCTCTTCAATCTCTAGCCCAGTCACCATTCCGTGTTGTGGATGAGATCAACCAGGGTATGGACCCTCGCAACGAGCGTATGGTACACGAACGAATGGTCGAGATCGCATGCCGCGAGCACTCAAGTCAATACTTTCTCATTACTCCGAAACTCTTGACAGGTCTGCGATATGACCCCAAGATGCGCGTGCTTTGTATTGCGAGTGGCGAGCACATGCCTCGTGAGGGGCGTAAACTTGATTTTAGACGATGCTTGAATATTCAGAAGGGTCTTACGGCCGCTTCTACTTGAGGCGTGAGCTCAGGCGCTTCTTTCTCATACTTGAACGACAGGAAGCAGTGGGACAAAGCCGTTTTGCATCGTTCTGTACAGCATGGGTAGGAGAATAGGCGAAAAGGATTGGGAGTCCACAGGGACATATGATGGTTCTATAGCATTAATAGACACTAGACGGAGGTATGGTGTTTTGGGTTTTCCGACCGCCGTGTCCTGTCTCTATTCTTGATTTGAAACGACTTGATCGGATAAGTATATACGTCCAAGCTTACACTCAACAAGCATGGGTATAGAAGAGTGAGTTAGGTGAATACTTCAAATTTAAAAATAGACAATACTTCATTTATTCATTTACGCTTCTTCCAACCGTACGTTGCCTCGTGCTATAAAATAGGATCTTCCTATAAAAGGCAAAGACACCATCCATGCCTGTCTTCTTTCCCTTACTACCACAGAACCAATGAATAGAAAAAAGTCTCTTATTTTACATGCGGTGTTCTTCAAACATGTAGAAGAACAACTAGAACAAAAGTCCGCCAACCCAACTCGTCGATAAGAGAAGTGGAAAAGGGGAGGAACAGATCATCAACCACTCCTCGAAAGGCATTAGATTTTAGGGAATCAACCAAGCTGAAAAGTGCAAAATGAAACAGAGAGAAATCCCGAATATAAAAACAAAAAAGGTTGTCTGTTAACTGAGACAACGAACTCCATTTCCACCTTGGCAAAGATCAGGAAGTACAGACACTGACCGTTGGCCCGGATAAATCAAAACGAAGACGGTGGGTATATTCGAGTCATGAAAGCGTATCGGCAGCCAGGAAGTGCTTCGAATTAGGGATGTCGGGGCTTTTCGCCATCACTGTGGTGTTCCTCAGTATCGAGTCTTTTGCGCCAATCCGCAAGGCTCTCGCTAAGGCCAACGCCTGCAGCGGTATCGTTGTCCTTCTTGACAGCCGAGGTAGTGTCGAAATCAAAGTTGGTGCTCAGTCGATAGTTCTTGTTTGTTGCTTCCCATTGGCTTCGAAGGGTCTCGAGTTCATTGGCAAGGCTGTCCAAGGCAGCACTGTTTCTAGCCTCCAGACCACCATTCCCACCGGTGGTACCTCCGTAAATACTTTCACCTTCGGAACTTTCTTGCCTCGAATGCCCCAGTCCTAACCCATTGGCACTTGCAGCCATCTCGGAGTTCAAGCTTGGCACTTGACGGCTGCGTCGGCGGTAGTTATCGACAGAGTGCTCGACTTGGTCTAGTAGAAGGGCGACCTTCTGTTCAGCATCGCTAGCGCGTTGCTCCAGCAGCGCATTCTCTGATTGTAGTTGTTCGAGATCCTTACGATGGTTGCTCAACTTCTGTGTAGCCGCTTCGCTGTTCTTTAAAGCCGCTTCGCGGTGATGATTGGTCTCCTGGAGTTCTGTTTGAAGACCGAGGAGTCGCTTCTCCATTTGAGCAGAAGACTCTTGAAGCTCTGTCTCGAGACTTCGAATACGCGCCTCGAGTTCGGCTTTCTCGTTCTCCCAACGAGGCGAGGTAGAGGCTGTGCTACTTTGAACACGGTCTTCCAACTCCTCAATCTCTGTCTTCAGACGGCCATTCTCTGTCTTATATCGGGATAATTGATCCTTGAGCTGCTTGAGCATCTTTTCAGTGCCTTTAACATAGTGCACAGCCGACTGATAATCGCTTTCAAGTTGCGAAAGCTTCTCACGCCAAGCAGCCTCGGATTCCTGAATTTGAATTGCAAATGCTTGCTTAGTCTCCTCGTGAGCGGCTGATGAGGTGGCGAGCTGAGATTCAAGATCTCTGACACGGTTCAAATCAGGCGAGTTCGTTCGTGGGTTGGGAAGATTCCGAGCACGAATAGAAGCCGTTGGGCTTATGCCACGTTCACTGAGGATGTCTTTCAGCGCATTGTGCTGAACCGTCATCGCGTTTGTTTCAAGTTGTTGAGCGGCCAATTGATTCTTAAGATCCGTGTTGGCTGCCTGTAAGCTTTGTGTATCACGCAGCGCAGATTGAAGTTGCCTTCGAATGGTGACTCCCTCCCGGCTTGACTGTTCTTGGTATTGCTCAAGACCAGCAATACGTTCTTCTGCGCCACGTAACTTGTGAACAACAGCCTCGAGCTCCTGTTGAGATTTCTTGACCAATTCGTTCGAGGTGGTGAGCTGATTTTGCAACGCAGCAATGCGCTCGGCATCTGCCTTGCTTGATCCAGAAACATCTCGAGCAGAAATTTTATCAAGGCCAGCGAGAACAGCTTGACGGTTCGTTCTAGCCTCAGCCGCGTGTTTTTCTGAAAGCTCTTCCGCATCACGTAGACGCTGGGTGGTTGCTACTAGCTCCGCAGTACGAGCTTCATGCTCAAACTTAAGCTTATTGAGTTGCGCTTCGATCTTCTCTCTCTGGGATCGTTCTTCCGCGAGCTTCGATTCCAGAAGGCCTGTCGAGTCTTCTGATGCTAAAATTGCAGCTCGAAGGGAATCAAAGGTTTCACTGTGGTCCTTTGAGCTTCCAATGGCTTCTTCGTACTTCTGTTGCACATCATTCTTCTCGATGCGGAGAAGTTCAACAGCAGCGGCAACTTCAGCGTGCGCAACTGAATGCTCTCGTGCTTCGTGCTGGGCAAGATGCAGTTCAGCCTTGAGGCGTTCAACCTCTGTCGAGGTTTGTTGTTTATAACTTTCTAATTCTGCCATGCGCTTTTGGGCTGCATTCGAGGTGTCATCTGCCAGCTGTCGTGCCTTCTTCTCGGAATCAAGTTCGCTTTTCACAGAATCGAGTCGTGACTGAAGATCTTTCTGGATGTGCAGTGCAGTTGCAAGCTTCCTGCTCAACTCACTAGACCTTCCTTCAAAATCGTCTCTTGGACCATCAAGCTGCGGTGTGCTTGCTGAACTTGCTCCTAGATGGGCAGCCAGCTTGGCTTTAGAATAAACAGCTTCTTGAATGGCAGCATCACGCTGCTTTTCAGCCTCGGCAATTTGCTTCGCTGCAATTACGGCTTGTTTGTCTACTGCGGTCTGAACATTTGCTAATTCAGATCGCATCGCCAGTAAAGCCTCGATAAGCGGCCGGTCTTCGTCGTCAAAAGTTTCGGTGGCCTTGTTATCGAGCAGAGGGCTGTATGAAGTATTGGGCACGTAGCCGGCCTTGCGCGCGAGCTCCAATTCTGAGGCATACCATGCGTTCCTGTTTCGAGCCGAGTCCAGTTCCTTAAGAAGAACAACTGTTTGCGAGTTTCTACCAGAAGACCGCCTAGAAAGGGGATTGCTTGGTTGTCTCATGGGGACTGGCGGCGATGCTGGGCGGGGTGTCATTGCCGGCTTAAGAGCAACATCTGGAGGGGCATCACCTGCTCCTTGAGGGCGGGTTTGTTGAGCTGCCTTCGCCTTGGATGGGTCTCCATTCACTTGATCTTGCCTTGAGCCAGCGCGCGCATTTTGCTGGACTGGCGTTCGTCGACCGTTCGATATGGGGCTTTCTGTTTCATTGATCACCTCTCGTGTAATAGGCGACCCGGAGTGCATTGTCCTTGGAGAGCCCGAGGCTCCACTGCGTTCGGCAGACTGTCCTCTGACTCGTGCAACTGCAGACACATCAACCGTAGGCCTAGCAGGCATCGGCCCCTGAGGGGGAGGGCCAGACGGAGGCATGGCTGAAGCTCTGGGAAGTTTTGTGCCGGCGGTTGCAGCCTGGGGGGTTTCTGCGTCGCCGTTGTTGGGCGGTGATCGTTGCCCATTAGCTGGAACAGAAGCACCTCCTGCGATCAACTTCCTTGAATCCGTTGGCCCGTTCGATCCATCTCGTGCAGGATGTGGCCGGCTGCCTTCGCTCGCACTTGGTCTACGTGAACCTTGAGCTCGTTGCTGAGCCGGCTGCTGCGCATCGCTCGGATATCGGATCTTTGAGGTATCCAAAACATAGAGAAGGCCCAAATCGCTGACAGATGTAGTTGCTGAACTTGGCTCTCCGCCAAGGACCACAATCGATTTGCCAACGGTTGTCATACTATGTCCAGAACGGGGAGATGGGGAAGGGCCCATGTTCTGAAATGTGTACCACCGTCTCGATGATATCCTGAAAGCTGCGAGGTCGCCAAGATCTGTCCCTTCTTCTGTTCGTCCTCCGAAGACGTACATCACATCGTCTACAAGAGCAGCAGCGTGCCCCTCGCGTGGCGCTGGGATATAGCCAATGCAGTCAAATTGAGACCACTTGTTGAGAGCTGGATCGTAACACCAAACATCGTTGAACCATTGGAAGCCGTTCGTACCGCCAAAGCTACCAGCGTGTCAGTTTCATTCGATACAGCTCGGCATAGATACTTACAGATACATCTTGTCGTTAAATGTGATCATAGTGTGATTGGTACGGGCCGCGGGCATCTTGGGGCTTGTCTCGCCCTGGACCAAGATTTCCCAGCGATTATTTGGCATCTGAAGCTGGTTGAGATCGAATGCCGAAAGATCATTCATAAACAACCCCTCAACTTGGCCGCCGAAGACGTAGATTTTAGAGCCCAAGATGTTGAGTGAGTGGCCATAGCGACCTGAAGGTCGCGGCCCAGCTGGTAGAGCGCGGGACCATTGTCTTGTCGCTGGGTTAAGGTTAGAGAATACAAACATCTACAAATGGGCAAGCTTACAGGTGTTTAGAAGATAGAGTGTCTCGTCAAGCACGTCAGCCTCGTCAATCTTAGTGTCGCCTCCGTATACGATGAATGCATTGCCGACAAGCAGACTCGAATGTCCAACTCTTGGGCCAGGTCCTTCAGCCGTGGTTGCCAACGGATAGCACGCCATGTTACCCCCAGCCTCGATCATCCAGAGATCGCCCTTGACTGTTGACCCGTTGATCAGACCACCCATGAGGTACACGTCTCCTTCTTTAGACGACACGGAGTTCACTGCAGCGCCATATCGAGGGAAGGGAGACGGGTGCGTCGAAGTATATGTCAATCGGCGTTGTGACCAGGGATATAGAGATGCATTGGGACCGTTGATGGGGGTGCCATTTCGTACCTAAGGAGAGCTCATTGATTAGGATATCCTGACAGCACTGGATGCAAGAACGGGTAGAAAACTCACTGATGTATCGCTTGTTTGTTGGATTGGTTGGTCAGCACTCCCACCACGGCGTCCATGTCCATGGCCATGGCCATGGCTATGATCGGGACTACCGTTACTGCCTTCATTGTCGATTGAGTTCAAGCTCCCAGTTGGAGTTGCGCGATGTTGTAGAGAGTTCTTCTCAGCAGTACGGGCGCTGACACTTTGGATCGACCCTTGAGAACCAGATCCTGCGTCGCGACTTGCAGGCTGCGACCTCTCTGGATGCTTTTTTGATTTGAATAGGAAGGCCATGGTTTATCACAAGGAGCCGCCGAGCGGCTAAAAATCGATTCGAAAGCAGTATGGAATAATTCGCGAGAGCAATGCGATAGAAGGTCGCGCAGATAGTGCGTTGTCGTGATGTAGTCGTCGCGTGGGTCAGGGATCGTTAGGAGACGAAGCAAATATCCCGACAAGTGAGTTCCAGCCACAAGGATAGTAGCAAGAATCAATATTCGAATTTCGACGTGGCTGGGCCAGCATTGGTAGGCTTGTCGATAGAACTGCGGATTGTTCTTTGGGAATTCCAGGGACGTGGTCAGCCTCCCGAATTCCGGTCTTCGAGAGAGGGGGCTGGCTGGCCCCAAGGCAGCCGATGCGCTGGTGCACGTTGCAGAGGAGCAAATGCTTTCAAGATCGATCTTCGACGGCGCAGGTAACAGTCGTTTGAAGCAGATTCAGAAATTCAGACGCAAAGAAGGGAAACCGTGACGATGCGCAAATAAAGAGCCCCTGTTAGGTTGGCGTAGGAAAAGATGTGAGATGGAAAGAAAGTGGTGATGGTCAGGTACGAAATGAGTAAGGTAGCCAACAAAAGCCTGCGACAGCTGTAGCGGAACGGAAACTGGCAGCGCAAAAGACGGATGGGGCTTGACTTAGTTGGTCCTTGTCAACCTCCTATGGTGACCTCGACGACCTTTCGCCTCCTGTTGCTAGCTGGCTGTCTTTTAAAAGGCCAGCCCTTTCACTTCTATACCCTGGTGGTCCCAACCAATTATCATAGATTCCACTGCGCCCCTGGACGGTTGGAGACCAGCGTCAGTTAGGACCCGACGATATTTAGGGGTTCCACGCAAACCAGTGAATGTACAGTGCCATTGAGCACAGTCTTGGAGTGTCTATAGTAAAGAAAATGTTTTTTTTATAACTCGACTCGGGCCACTTGGCTTAAGAGAGTCTGTCATGTGCCTTGCAGGTGCCAACTGACAAAACTTCGACATTTATAGTGTCTCGAGTCCAATTCTACAGTACTATCATTCATGTGTTTGTTGCACATCCTGCCGAAGGCTACCTACAGGTAACACAACATCGTCATTGCTGATCGAAGCTCCTGTTCCACGTCACAGGGGAAACAAATTGCTGCCCACCGCGCCAGGGCTATTATCTAAATACCTTGCCTTATAATTGGTGACAAGACGGTATCGCGACTTGTGCATTCAACTTTTAGCCAGGGGCTCTTTGTTCCTTGCATCTTGAAGGTGGAGACGCCCTGGGCACTGGGACAGGAAGCTGAAGACATTCGTCCAATCAGCTAGACTTTTGTGCCACTTTCGTACATTGTGCCTGGCATTGAGGTGCACTTGGCCTATTCAAGATCTGAGCATTGCACATGCAGTATGATACGGATTTCAAGTTACGCATATTTTGAAGCCAGAGAATGGCGTTGGTTTAAAACTGTACGGCTAAACACACAAGTTACATAACTGTTTTAGTTCTTGATACTAACCGTAGAGGAGAAAAGTTTACGAAACGGCCTGGCACATGAAGAACCCATAGGTACCTACTTGAACTTCTCCAAGTTGATGACTTTTTTTAATATGTTTTGATCACGTAGACCATAAGCTATGTAATACTTCCCTTATTTATGGTTGGCTTCTAATTAGTAGGCTCTTGAGTGGTAACAAAATGTAAGCTAACCTTAAGGTACCTTAGTCGGTATGCCGCTAACTTTAGAACTCCTCGCTCACTCCATGCTGTACCTATTGAACATCACATCACTCACCTTCCACCAGAGAAATTGTCAGCTTCCAGGGTTAGCCTTCAGATGGAAGCAATACCAAGTACGTGCTCCGTACTCCCAAATTCGCCAATCAGGATTCAACCCCCTCCGACTGCACACCTAGCGACTAGGTAGTCTTAAAGCTTTGTTTCCTCGTCCCTGGAGAATTGGAATCACAAAGTCTGCCCGTCCACTAACGTAGGATACCTTATCCTTATTGGGTGGCCAGGATGTGGTTTCATGTTTCTCGGGCGCTAACATCGTCAAACCCAACGGCCTACGCACGCCAAGGTAAATTGCCTACCTTACTTCTCTACTTCCTAAGTACAGTAGGAGTAGCTAAGTTCTCTCCTCTGGCTTAGCCCCACCGAACTCCCTCTCGAATGAACGATGTAATTAAATAAATAAAGGGGTGGAAATCCGGCACCCCGTTAACACACTCCGTACTCCGTAGTAGCGGCTTGTTAAGGCGTTATTACACCTAGGTATGGAGCACTCACCAGGTAGGTACTAAGGTATGGGTTGTACAGTATCAATGAAGATGTTTCTCGCAACCCGGAATAATCCAGCGAAACGCAGACTCCGCAACATTTTATAACAGATACCTGGCAACTTCACTTCGTGGTGGTCAGGAAATCCTCACACGTCCCAGCCTCAAACCCAGTACTTTATAATAGACTCAAAAGGATACTTGAATCGATCATTCTGGCTTCCGCTGCAATCCCGCAAGGTTTTCAGCTTTCAGGAGGACTTACATCATCCCGATAGATCAGTTTGTTCACCCGATACGCGCGAGATCATTCCTTGTGACAGCAAACATTTGATGTTCTGGATACGGATCTTGGGTGCTAGTATTCAAAGAAACATACCCCTGCCCAGCTATTGGGAGTTCTCAAATTCCAATCAATATTTGGTCTGCGTTCAAAGATATCGATTATCCATTTTGGTGTTACTAATCGCAAGACCATGAGCCATTACAATTGAAATTAACACAACATATACACATAAGTGTCAGATGGATAAGCATACATCATGGCTTCGGCATTGCACAGTCGTGGCGGCGGTATTGGGTTTATGAGTGAGAGGAGAAGAAACCTCAGCGAGCTCAGGGGACTAACGAGCCACATGGTGATCACGTGCAACCATATTGTCCAGTACCTATTATGGCTTGCTACTTCAGCCCACCTCAGTAATGGGCTGGCCAGGTAAACTACCTAGGAAAACTTTGGCCCTCTATCTTAAGTGATAGAATGACTTGGGTTGGCTCAGTATATATGGTGTTCATTGAACGTTACACTATGAAGTACCCATTGGAGTTTAGGTGCGTTTGGCACCTTGCTTCGAGGTCGGAGGTTTTCTTACACCCTCTAGCCAGCCATCCAGAGTTTCAATTGGAGCCGGGCCCAGTAGACCCATCACCTTAGGTGAGGTCGGTTAGTCGGTAACAAGAACATCAGTTACCCTATGTCCATACCAAACCTTACATTGGTCAGCGTTCAAGCATTCGAATGTCCAACAACAGTGCTGTTACACGTAAACAGACCTTTTTAAAAGCTCTAGAGATATTCAAATCATACTAAATACGATTTATATTGACTTCACTGTATACGTGCTGCCTTTGTGTGGAGGTGAACAAGCCAGCACTAACGGAACCAGATGGTGTACCTACTAACTTAGGAATTATTAATTTCTGCTTTTATCCTGGTCAGCCGCCAACGAACTTTAGACCTCGTCATTGGCCTCTCCCAACCACAGTCGAAAGTCCTCCAACTGCTTTTTGGTATTCTACATCCAAGCGCAGTGATCAACCAATAGTGAAACAGGCTCAAATAGAAGGCTATCATCCGCAATGCCGGCTTGAGCTACACAGAGGGCCATGACAGCTGTGTCGTTCCAATAGACGTCACTTCCTCCACATATTTACACCTACTCAGCCAGCCAAACCCGCTTCACTGTAAGCTCCTCCACCAACGCTAGACATTACAACCCGTCCCCTTCACGGCAACCTGCGCATCTCGGCCACAACCAACTACCTGTGTCGATCGCGACAATTTTATGGTTATTCGGGCGTCATGGCGCTGCGATCCGACATGAACGGCACCTCTGCGCCTACCGTTGAGCCCAACGGAGCTGCCTCGGCAGCGCGACCCAGGGAGAACGGCCGTTCAACATCGAATGATGCTACCAGGAGCGACGACGACGATCAACGACCGTTGAGCGCGCCAAACCGGCGCAACGGAAGCATAGCGCTCGAGACAAAAGACGACATCGAGCATCACCAGAAAACGCGGCCTGCCAAGCCAATGCTCCTCCGGTCGAAGAGTGACTACGCGCCCCGGGCGATGGAAGAGCCTGAGCCAACAGAAGATGACATACCTGAATGGGGTGCTAGACATGGGTTCGAGGATCATTATCAATCGGAGGACATCATTTCCCAGCTGGCGAATGTGAGTTTTCCCTCTCAATAATGTCAATTTGCTGGTCAGTCATCTCGGATACATCAAGCCTCTGTATCATGCTCGACAGTCGCAAGATAAAGAACCCTGGCTGTAGTATGCCGTGGCACGTGGAAACAAGTACCCCGGGCATCAGTTTCGAGCCTCCCGGCAATTTGATCATCTGTTAGGTGTCTTCTGCAGCAGTCCCAGAGATATAGATCCATGATCTCGCTGCGAGACCATTCTTGCACGATATTTATGTTGCCTTGGGTTGACCTAGCTAATTATGCCCTCAGAACTGGTATATGTATTTTACGGATAAGCGACATGAGACGACAGGCAAACCTAAACCACTACAATACGAACTTCAAGATTGGCGGCAGAGAGACAGGTTAAAAACAGTGTCTGCAGCTCTCGCGGTGTGTTTGAATATAGGAGTTGAACCCCCCGACCAGCTCAAGACCAACCCAGGTGCGAAGCTCGAGGCATGGACAGATCCCACAATACCTCCCATACAGAAAGCCCTCGAGAATATCGGCAAGTCACTTCAGGCGCAGTACGAGACACTTGCGATAAGAGCGCGGTACAAACAATACCTCGATCCATCCGTCGAGGAGACAAAGAAATTCTGCATCTCATTACGGAGAAATGCTAAGGATGAACGTGTTTTGCTTCACTACAACGGTCACGGCGTGCCCAAGCCAACCGCATCAGGTGAAATCTGGGTTTTTAATAAGAATTACACTCAATACATCCCTGTATCGCTGTACGACCTGCAACATTGGCTTCAAGCTCCCACCATCTTTGTCTGGGATTGCTCTGAAGCAGGCAACATTCTCAACAACTACCATCGATTTGTTGAGAAGCATGAAGAAGAGGAGGAGGAGGCCGCAGAGCGCGACCCAAACTACACGAAAACCAATTTCAGGCCTTATATTCATCTGGCAGCCTGCGCTGTCAAAGAGAATCTCCCGACAAACCCTCTTTTGCCTGCTGACCTGTTCACAGCTTGCCTCACCACTCCCATTGAGATGGCTCTGTGGTTCTTCGTTCTACAGAACCCCCTCAAGACCAACATCAGCCCAGAGCGGGCAAAAAAACTACCTGGTCGCCTGCAGGAGCGACGAACACCACTGGGAGAACTCAATTGGATCTTCACTGCTATCACAGACAGCATTGCGTGGACAACACTGCCTCGTGATCTCTTCCGGAAATTCTTTCGACAAGACTTGATGGTGGCGGCGCTGTTCCGCAATTTTCTTCTTGCCCAACGCGTTATGACGGTCTATGGATGCCACCCTCAGTCTTATCCTAAGCTACCCGACACCCACCAACATCCATTGTGGGAGACCTGGGATCTAGCCGTTGACATGGCGTTGGCCCAGCTGCCCATGCTTGAAAAGAAAGAGAGCGAAGGCTTTGATTATGAATATCAAAATTCAACATTCTTCACAGAACAGCTTACTGCTTTCGATGTTTATCTTACGAGAGGTGATGCGATGGCTCAAAAGTCACCCGACCAGCTACCGGTTGTGCTCCAGGTACTGCTCAGCCAGCAACATCGGGTTCGTGCTCTTATCTTACTCGGCCGGTTTCTTGACCTAGGCCCGTGGTCTGTTCAGCTCGCCCTCAGTATAGGCATTTTCCCTTATGTCCTCAAACTCTTGCAGTCGGCTGCGGCCGAGCTGAAGCCAGTTATGGTCTTCATCTGGGCTCGTCTGATCGCAGTGGACCTTTCTTGCCAGCAGGACCTCATCAAGGATAGCGGCTATAGCTATTTTGCACAGATTCTGAAACCCTCCGAAGGATTGCCTGTTGTTGACAGCGACGAACACAAGGCAATGTGCGCTTTTATTCTCGCTATGCTATGCAAGGATTACAAGAATGGACAAATGGTCTGTAACCAAACAGAGATCATGTCATATTGTTTAACTCATCTTCAAAATGAGGAGAACCCCCTTCTGCGCCAGTGGGCTTGTCTCTGTATAAGCCAGCTTTGGCAAGACCTCCCAGAAGCCAAGTGGCGGGGAATCAGGGAGAATGCATATGTCAAGCTCGCTTATCTCGTGAGAGATCCTTGTTGCGAGGTTCGGGCAGCGATGATCCATGCCATGACTACATTTTTGGGTATTCCTGATCTGACAGAGGAAGTGGCCCGTATTGAGGAGTCTATTGCATGGACGATACTCGACATGGGTAATGATGGAAGCCCAATGGTCCGCAAGGAGTTCATTGTGTTTCTTTCTCATTTTGCTATTCGCTTTGAGAGCAAGTTTCTAGTCGCAGCTTACGAACAACTGGTTGAGGAGAAGGAGTATCTCATATTCCCTCCTCAGGATGACGGCCAGGAACACAAGATGGGCTTGCATTACGCAAGACCGGATAATCGCAACAAAGATGGTACCATCAAGCCAATGGCCCATGGTCTATCTCATAACACAGTGTATATGGCGTTGTGGAAGCTGGCTCTCGTTCTCAGTGTGGATCCTCATCCTGAGGTACAGCGCGAAGCGACTATCGTTGTAGACTTTGTTCACAACGCGCTGCTCAGCTCAAAAGTCGGAGTTCAGACGCAGCTGGTCATGGCCGAAATTCGAAAGCGTACGGCAAGGACGGCACACAAGCATGCTCCGAGTGCAAGCCAGCGAAACAATTCTCCCGGCACTTCTAACTCGCAGCCTTTGCCCTCACCAGGACTCCTTCGTCGAACTGCGAGCCTGCTTTTTCCATCACTGGTAACCAACGAGGACAAATCAAGACCAACGACCCCGACTTTGCCCCGATCACCATCTCTGAAACTCACACCGAACCAAATACCGGTGCCTGCAGAGCAAAACGATCGACCATCATCGCTGGCTCAATACAATGTTGCGCATGAACCCTATTCAGGCGCATACAAAGAGCGGGATCTGATGAAGCCTCCTGTACTGCCTCTCAAGAGCAAATTCCTGGAATGGTCAATTGAGTATTTCCGTGAACCACAAATGAAGCCGAGTGAGGCAGATGAGCCTGGAAGTACCGAATACAATGAGCGTCTTTGGCGAAGAGCTCGGAATGAAACCATTTTCAGAGAAACTCAGCCATTGAAGCAACAAGCGGGAAGTCACAAATGGAATAATCAGCTTGGGATCATCAACAATGGCGCTCAACCCGCTAAGATGACCTTCCATCAATTCGAAGATCATCTTGCTGTAGCGGACGATGGCAACACTGTTTACGTATGGGACTGGAAGAAGCAAGGACGATTGAGCCGTTTCAGTAACGGTAATCCAGAAGGCTCAAAAATCAGCGACATGAAGTTCATCAACGAAGACGACCAGGCGATGTTACTGACAGGATCATCTGACGGTGTGATCAGAGTTTATCGCAACTACGAATCGGATCGAGCCATTGAACTTGCATCATCCTGGCGTGCCTTGACACACATGGTCCCTAGTAACGTCAATTCTGGTATGGTGTTCGACTGGCAACAAGTCACTGGTCGAGTCCTTGTGGCTGGTGATGTCCGAGTAATTCGAGTGTGGTATGCCGCTTACGAGACGTGTGTCATGGATATTCCAGCACGCTCGGGTTCCTGCGTGACTTCGCTCACATCCGATCAAATGACGGGTAATATGTTTGTGGCCGGCTTCGGCGACGGTGCCGTTCGAGTTTTTGACACCAGGAATCGACCTCAGGAGTCCATGGTGCGCAAATGGAAGGATGAGTCAGATCGACAATGGATCAAGAGCGTGCATATGCAGCGCGGCGGGCAACGCGAGCTCCTGAGTGCAAGCAGAAATGGCAAAGTCAAAATCTGGGATATTCGCATGGATAAGCCGCTGCACTCATTCCAAACGACACGAGACACACTTAGAACAGCCAGCACTCATGAACATTTACCAGTTTTTGCAGTGTAAGTATTGGTTCAGCGCAAGAAGCATGAATCACAAGGACTAGAGCTAACTTGATTGGCAGGGGTACATCAGCCCACGCAGTAAAGGTCTTTAATCTTGATGGGCATGAGCTTTCGAATGTTGAGCCCTATTCAAGTTTCCTGCAACAGAACCGCAGCTCACCTATATCAGCCACTGCATTCCACCCTCATCGGCCAATTCTTGGATGTGCTGCACGAGGTGATCAACATATCAACTTGTTCACTTGCGAGAAATCGGAGTCTCTGCACCCAAGCTAGCGTCCTTGGGGCAGCAGGTTTCGCTTATAGTAATACCCACAGAAGAGGAAAAATGAGACGGGATGTATTGATCGCCTGGACCATGGAGGAAGGGTGTCATTCAGGACTCGAAGCATGGGGATACGGATGTGGGGTTGAAAGGGGTGGTAACGTTAGCTGTATAGGTTGCATATCATATCATCCAGGATTTCTTTCGGCGCCGGCGTTCAGGAGTAGGCAAGACAAGCGAGGCGATGGAGGCTCAGGACGAAGCGAATCCCTGTCCACAACGGGTGCATCCCGTCAGCGTCGTCAAATTCAGCGATGTTGGGCGGAAATGGTTTCGTCAGAATATAGGATGGGACATTGGAGAGTTGTATGATAAACTTAATATGAATAGCTGCTAATTTGAGAGCCTGGGCCTTGTGGTCTTTGCGTATATGGACACTAAAAAGCAGAGCAATGGTTCAGAGGACATTTTCTTTGGATCGAAATGCTGGGGTTATTTAATAAAGTCCTGTCCGTCAGATGTTCAAGACGACGGTGCTTGGATAACCCCACCATGACGCCGCAGTTGAAATGGATTGGTATGGCGGGGCAGGAACCCCGCTGCGCGGCCTGACTGATGGGCAACCACCGCTTCATATTTTTATGCGTCACCTTATTTTCTCCCACCGACACAGTCACCATCGTTACTATCTCCTGATTCCAGTCCGGTCTCGTTGCGAGCCTCCCCTAGCTTTGGTCATATCGAAACACTTCCAATCGCGTGTTTCTATATCAACCGTCCGTCGTCAACCGACACAAAGTGATTGCGCGAGAACGAAACCCAACGCCTACGAAACACATATTCAAATAACTTCACCATGGCCGACGCCCCTGCTGAGCAAGCTACTGCTCCCCCTCCCGCCGACCAGGCTCCCGCCGCTAGTGGTGAAGCCGTCGAAGGCGGAGAGGCTGGCCCTTCAAAGAAGGCATTGAAGAAGGCTGAGGCGAAGGCTAAGAAGGAAGCTGAAAAGGCACGCCGAGCTGCTGAACACGAAGCCCGACAGTCTGCTGCAAAGGCTGCTGCTGGAAATACCGAAGACCTCGCTAAAGACAACTATGGAGATTCCACTCATCTTACCAAGATCGACGCGGAGCGAGTCAAGCTTCGAAACCTGAGCGATGAACATCTCGGCAAGACCATCAAGCTTCGTGCGTGGATCCAGAATGCGCGCATGCAAGGTGCTAAGATGGCCTTTGTTGAGCTTCGTGAGGAGCGAGACTGGGCTATCCAGGGTGTCATCGCTGCCAGCAGTGAAGGCACGCCTGTCTCTAAGCAGATGGTCAAGTGGATTGGTAGTCTGAATCTAGAAGGCTACATTCTTGTCGAAGCTAAGGTTGTGAAGCCCCAGGAGCCAGTCAAGAGTGTGAAAGTCTCCAATTACGAGCTACATATCGCCAAGTGCTACGTTATCAGCCCTGGCCCTCAAGTTCTTGGCATGGGTCTTGCTGTTGCCAACCGGCCTGTTACCAACTTTGACGATGAAGACGCTGGTGGCCCTGTGGAGGAGGTCAAGGAAGGCGTTGACAATTTAAGCCTTGAGAACGTCCCTGGTGCCAGCATGGCAACTCATTTGAACAACCCCGTTATGCACAAGCGAGCTCCTGTTCAGCAAGCCATCGCCGACGTACGACTGGCTGTTCGTAAGCTTTTCGTCGAGTACCTTGAAGCTCGCGACTTTGTCCAATTCGAGGCCCCTTGTCTCATTGGAGCTGCCTCTGAAGGAGGATCCAACGTGTTCGGCATGCCTTACTTTGACAAGCAGGCTTACTTGGCCCAATCTCCCCAATTTTACAAGCAGTACGAGATTGCTGGTGGCCGGAAGCGTGTTTTGTGCATCGGACCTGTATTTCGAGCTGAGAACTCTAACACCCCTAGACACATGACAGAAGTAAATATCCCTATTTTCCCTACCAAACTCCCTCGTTTACACAGAGGACAGTGCTGACCTGCATCAATAGTTCACCGGTCTTGATCTTGAGATGGAAATCGAGGATCATTACCACGAAGTCCGTGACATGCTCGAGGGGGTTCTTCTTCATATCTTTCGAGGGCTTCAGGAGCGATGTGCCGAGCAGATTGCTCTTGTTCGAACAGTTTACCCTTCTGAGGACTTTCTTTTGCCCCAGCCTGGTAAGGAGGTTCGCCTTACATTCGCTGAGGGTCAGGCGCTCCTCAGAGCTGAGGGACCAGAGGAGTACCGCAATGTCTCCGATGAAGAGGACATGAGTACACCACAAGAGAAGGCACTGGGTGCTCTTATCCGGGAAAAGTACAACACCGACTTCTACGTGCTTGACAAGTTCCCCGAGGGTGCTCGACCTTTCTATGCTCTGGAGGACCCCGAGAACCCCAAGGTTACTAACGCCTTCGATTTCTTTATGCGTGGACAAGAGATTCTTTCCGTATGTCACTCTCATATATCGGTTTTCTAGTCGTCACTAACTTGCTCAACAGGGTGGTCAACGTATTCACGTTCCGGAAACCCTGGAAGCACGAATTCGTACAAAGGGTATCGACCCTAAAAGCCAAGGCATCAAGGAGTATGTCGACATTTTCCGCAGTGCCGGTGTTCCTCCTCACGGTGGCGGTGGTATTGGCTTGGACCGTGTGGTTGCGTGGTATTTGAACCTTCCAAGCGTGCACTTGGCAAGCTATTATCCTCGTACACCCAAGAGACTCTTGCCTTAAGAAGTTGAAACGATCTAGAAGCTGTAGGATTTCTAGAATATGAGAACTAATAAAACTCAGATGAGAAAGGGGGACTGGAGAACAAGAGATAACACTACAGATAGTCCCTGGGATTATGACAAAAAAAAAGATTGAATATCCCAACCAAGAAGTTCCCCGTTTGTGTAACCTAGGTCAAAACGGGATTGTATTGCAAGCTCGCGATGACTCTTTTGTATTAAACACAATTTAACGAGCGAATCTGTGAGTAAGAAGAAGCAAACATATTTGGAACGTCAACATCAAGGACTTGTGAGGTTCAAGTGTCCCAGGCCCAGGTATGAGATAACTAGGCTGGGTTGGTCTGCTGGAAAGAAGCCACTCCGCAAATGGAGCAATTGAGTTTCAGCAGTGCTAAGTTGGGCTCGCTTAAAGCTCAAGAGTTAGTCACCTGGCCGTCTGACTTACATTAGCTTCGTGGATCAATATCACATACGTGAGTATGATGATTGTGCAAGTCGGGAATAACGGCACCAACAACAACCCGTTCATCACATTCTAGGCACAGTGGCTAAGGTACCCGGCCATTGGTGTTGTATGGTGACAACACGTAGATACCTAAATGCAAATCTCTCATCTCAATGTTACCCTAGGTAAGCCTCCAAGGTGTGATAAAAGTCGGAATGGTGAAGAGGGCTGGCGGGCAGCACCCACCCATCTCCTTGGGGCTTTAGGTGAGGGAGTGCGGGATCTACCTTATGTACGGGTTTTGCTCCGGAGGGTGCGTAAGATCCAAGTTGATTGCTCCCCACGTTTGACAACTTGCGAGTTGCATTAGCATGCACCTACCTACACAAAGCTGCGCCCGCCAGATGAATACCCTAGATTATCATATCGTGGGTGCAACATCTGAGTCCGATTTCCCGGAGAGAAGCGTCGGGATTCAATTCCATGGGGAAGGGCATTGCGACCTTGGACTGCATATATCATGTACCAAGGGTCTTAGGATACCACTGAACTACCCAAAAAGAATTGGCCATCCCAGGACAAACCCTGGAGACAGAGAAACCCGACGGGTCCAGCAGGGGATGCGCGAAGCTGCGCCTGGGCGCGGTATCATTGGTTACACAGACTTCCATGTGCTAGCGATGATAAGTCAGTAAGCACCTAAACGGAGCAAATGTCTTTAGGCTGTGGGTGCAGTTGCTGACTACCTTACTTGACATATCATTTAGGTTGCGTACAGGAGCCAAACGACCTTACTCGCAGTTCTAATGATTCTGGAGGCCATGGCGAATTATCAACAACACACCAATTCGACAGCTGCGCCGTAGTAATCCCCCTCCGACCCTGATATCTCACTCTCATGTGCGAATTCTATGGACCGAGTTTGTGTATATCTTCCCCAAACAAACTCGGCCAAGGTTGGGAGAAGTTGCCAAGAGAGCGCAGAACTCCGGCCGAACCACGTGCAAGCGGGCAGAGACGGCTCGAAAATTCTAGTGCTCAAGCTCTCCATTGTGTTACGGGATCAGTCGGGGGTCTCTCGAGGGTCTCTTGCTTAAGCGGGCGGGCAATGCGGGCGGGCGGCCGACTAAGCAGAGTCGGATGCAGATGTGGCTTCGCTTGATGAAGTTGTTGTCCGTTGTATCGAGAGCGCTTGACCAGGCTGAACATACTAGATCAAATTACGGGTCTCCCTGTGCAAATAGGGCCGAAGGAGCTTCAGCAGTTGTCCTTGTAAGGCTGGGAATGAGAAGGTCGTTAAGAGGTTTGCGAGATGCATTCATGGCGTTGCGGAGGTAGGTCGTTGTCCATTGATGAATGGATATACTGTCTGGCGCACGATATTGCCGGATTAGGCAAGGGAAACCAATGTGTCAGGACTGCGCAAAGTCGATTAAATCCCGAACAAATCCGGAGCGTGTAAGTTAGAGGGAGATACATAGATATGGATATCTTGGCTTATACGATCTTGATATGTCAAGCGCAGATCCTTTTGAACCCCCATGTGAAAGACGACCCCGAAATGCTTACCTACACGCCAACGACCCACCAGGCCTCGCTCGGGGACAGAAGGAGAAAAGAGAACCGCGATGGGGATCAGGCAACAGTTTATTTTTACCGTTGTGCATTAGACGGAACCTTTGAAGTTTGCTAGAACCACGCTGTTCAGTGGAGTCGGTTATTTCAGGTCCGTCCGTAGGTTGTTTGTTCCATGTTCTGAGGCCGTTCATATATCTGAACCGAGAGTTGTCTGACTAACATTGGATGTCAACTTGGCGCTAGCACAGACTTCGGAAACTCAGGAAACTACTGTATTCTCCAGTTGAAAGTGGTGGTTCATGAAATGGAATTAAGATGCAGGCTGATAAGAACAATGTGTCAAGGGGTCTGTCTGTCTATCTGTCTGTCGGATCAGTGTGCACCACTCCCACTAATACTGCGTCAACGTTGCTTGCTGTTCAAGGTAGGTCTGCCTGCATGTGCAGGAGACGCATTTTTCTAGCCTCAAGCTCGTGGACTAACTCACGACTTGCCCTTAACGTCTGCACAACCATTGGGCTCCAGGGAGATAACTCAAGAGCGCTGAGCTGTCGGGTAAAGACAAGGAAATAAGGGACGAATTAAATGCCCAGCAACGTCGGCCGCCTTGCTGCAGCTCCCCCATCGAAACTCCTCCTAGGCGACACTTTAGCTTGGAACGCGACATGGAACCCTTTCCGTAATACTGGACAACCTTTGTGAGGCCTTTGATCATCCAAAAATGTTTCTCATTTGGAAGTTCGTTGCAATGCTCGAGTTAGGAAGCTCACGATGTTGATATCCGACCCTGGCTTGGCACGACTAATACACAACGGCCAATATGCACGTCAAGGGCAAATGCCGTGTCAGTTGTGATTGGCACCTAGCTTTGCCTTATGTCGCTTAGCTCGGCCTCGATCGCAGAGTCTCAGCCATTTCTTAAAAGGGCCCAGGCCCAACCTTTCCCGTCCCCCCGTTCGTGAAACGCATTGCACGTTATACTTCATTAAGGCTACCACCTCACCTTGCCTTACAGTAAAGCTGTACTCCTCCGTCCGTACCACCTCCCTACCAACAACCGACCTGCTGCCCTGCCCTGCCCGTGCTTTGTGCTCTGTGCTTTTGGGGCTCACACTCTCTCTCACCTTGGTCAATCGGTCTGCACCTGAACCTTCTGGCCCCCTCACACCTCCACCTCCACTTCCACCTCCATCTCTCTTCTTCACCCACCCGCGTCACCCGCCTCGTTCACACCTAACCTAGTTAATTCATCCACCAACCTACAGCCAAGCCCCATGCAACCTCAACTTCTTCTTCTACTATTTTAACCAAGAAGCGCTTCTGTCTCTTCAACCCGGCATTGACTCATCACATCTTTGTTCATTCGCACTCACGCTCTTTCATCTCTGGCTCCTCTTCCATTTTGTGTGGTCACAGTCACTCCCATCGAACTACTCGATTCGATTCTGCTCTACTCCACCTGCTTCGTTTAACCTTCGCTCAACCTCAACCACCGCCTCTGAAGGTTCACGATGGATTTCACCGGGCAATACAACTTTGCCAACCCTCAGCCCTATCACCAGTTCATGCCGATTCCTCCTCTGACGCCGTCGCACTCGCATTCCGCCGGCTCCGATGACTTCAATGCATCCCCGCCTGTCAGTAAACGACCCCTTCTCCGCGATCTCCCCCACTCCCCCGGTGCAGCCCTGCCTTAGCGTTTCCTTACCTGAGCATTACTCTAGCAATGTTGAGCCTCACAAGCACATCTTCAACGTTGTACCTGCAGCTCGTCTATCTCATAGCATTAGCGCATCTTTGCTGACATATTGCTTTGACACGTATAGGAAAACTACGACGCCCTCTCTGCCAGTCAAAATGACCAGTTCCAGTCTTTCGATTATACCACAGCCCAAGGCTTCAATGCAAACCCTCATCAGCCTGCCTCTGGTTTTCCGGGCCCCCCGACACCTCCCGGCTATGCTTCTCAGGCCCAAACCCATCAACAGCAAGGAGGCTCATTGAGGAATGACTCTCCTGACGAGCAGTCCGTTGCCCGCGGAGGCAGCGAGGAGGACGAGAACCTAACTCCTGCTCAGTCTCGAAGGAAAGCACAGAATCGCGCTGCGTACGTCTCCAATCCTCTCCCGACTTGTTCTTTCATTTTGCGAGAAGACCTCACTATATACAATATTGCTGTGACTTTGAAATGCGTTTGATGACGCCGATTTTATACTTGGCTAACATATGGCTGTACAGGCAGCGTGCCTTCCGCGAGAGGAAAGAAAAGCATGTTAAAGACCTCGAGGCGAAGCTTGCCGGCCTTGAGGCCGCCCAGCAACAATCATCCCTCGAAAATGAACGTTTAAAGCGAGATCTCCAGAAAATATCTACCGAGAACGAAATCCTTCGTGCGACATCCCGCATGAGCCATGGTTCCATCTCTCCAGAGCCTGCAACCGGGCCTCTACGCTTCAAACCCACCGACTTCTACTCCAACGTCTTGCAGAACCACACAAATAAGTCGCCCTCACACCGCATTGTTACCTCAGACGATGGTGAACGTCTCCTAGCTGCCGGTGCAACATGGGACTTTATCATATCCCACGAGTTGTTCAAGAAAGGCCTTGTTGATATTGCCGATGTCAGCGAGCGTCTGAAGAACTGCGCTAGATGTGATGGCCAGGGTCCTGTTTTCTCAGAGCGTTCAATCACCAATGCCATCGAACAGAGTGTCGCGAGCGGCACGGATGATCTTCTCTAAGTGAGCGGCAAGGTGCAAAAGGGCCAATTTGGAAGAAAGGATACATGAATGGCTTCATTATGATTGACGTATATTACCCTAAGAGACTAGGTGGAAGATGATACCCCGCCCGTCGGGGCTTTTTGGCGTGGCGTTTTGTATTCAAAGGTTTTTACGTATGTCTCCCAAGAAATTTTGGACAGTTTTGAAAGATGCGCAGCAAATGTCTGCCATATGCACGACCATGCTATAGGATCTTGGAAAGCCAAGTAGTATATTTAGGTGCAAAAATGATTCAATATTTTCTCTTGAAGGTTTCTTAGTCCCCTTCGAACGGCATGATCTTGGAAAGCCTAGACCATGGTGGTGTTGCCTCTACATGACCATACACATATACAGGTTCGCAGAAGATGGATATACTGTTAAAATTGGCAGCAGAATAGAAATAGCATCTATAAGCTTCAGTAGCATTATACAAAAACACGCTGCAGAACTCCAAAAAGAAAGAACCAAGCCCGTTCCTCATACAAATCATACAAAACTTCTACACGAAAACCGTAATATTCGCGACACCCCTCTTTTAGACCCTCTTTAGATACCTTGACTCATTCCCAATCCTGCATGAAGCGTTTCCATTACTCCGTTCGAACCTGGAACTACCGACATCTCTATTTTGAGTCCAATTGTTTGTATTGTCATGTGGCTCTTCTATTCAGGGGATCTAGCCCCTGTACCACCATAAACCCATCGACGTGGGTCTATATCGGTCATTTAGTCCTTCTTTGTACCATTGGTCTGAGCACCTTCGTTTTCAACATGAGGATGCTTAATGGTGAGGCACCAGATGTCGAGGTAATCGCAGATGGTAACGATAACGTCAACGACAAAACTTCCGTAGACGCCGACGGCGGTTCCGAGCATCATGAACATGAAAGCCACTTGGTAGACATTATCGCCAAGAGCGCTGGGCCAGCCAAACCCTAAGTTACGCTGGAAGATGGGGCCCAATGAATCGATGACGCCAAAGGCAAGAGGCAGGCCCAGCACGTTCCAGTAGGGGAAACGCAGGTGAACAAGGTGAGCAGTGATCATCTGCCCGACGCTGTAGGCATTGACAAGGCCGGCGAAGAGGGCAAACGGGATGAGATGGCATTCGCGGATCTTGGGTTGAAGGTAAAGGTAGGCAACCACCATAGACCAGATGCTGAAGAAAGGCACAAGGCCAAGGAGCGCACCTCGAGAACGGTCACCACGGGCACGTCGAGCGCGGATGACGTTGAGTGAAGACTCGACAGTGTTGAAGACAAGAACAATACTGCCCTGAATAAGATACCACTCGGTAAAGGTGAGGTTGTAGATGAAAGATGGGATGCCAATGGTGGAAGGCACACCGATGGTACGGAACATGCTCTGCTGCCAGAAATGGGCACCCCCAACGTAGCCAGTGAAAACGAAGACCAGGACGATCGCAAGAACGCCCTCGACGGGTCCGTTCACGATACCTAGAGTGAGAGTCTTGGTGTGATATGTCTCCCATGTCTGAACATAAAACGTCAAGAGGGCTATCAAGTTAGCATCGCGCATCCCAACAGAACCGCCAGTGTTGACTCACATGCGAACAAGACTGCCACAGTCTGCCAGCTCTGTCCCATGTTCTGAGAAGCAGCAAAAAGAAGAACCTCAAGCGAGGTATTGCAAGCATCTACCCCATGATCGAAGAGTTCGCCCAGGGGTCCGGATTGCCGAGTTCGGCGCCTGGCGATTTAGTTAGCACATATTCAACACATGGCAAATACGGTTGTAATCAGCTTACGCTTGAGTTCCGTCCACAGCATCGAAAGTTTGATATAGGAACAAGCCCAGTGCCCAAGAATAATACACCCAGGAGGGGCAATCTTGGTCAAGAGTGGGAGTATACCACAGCAGCGTCAAGAAGTTTGCAACGACAAATGAAAAGCCCGTCAGAGTGATCAAATTCGGTGCCATGCTCATAGGGAAGCACTTGATGACGAATTTCGTGTAGAAGGGCTTTAGAACATATTTGGAGAGCAGTGAATGATCGACACCAGAGTATTTGTACTCACGGAGCGCGGGGAGCTCCTTTTGCCGTACGTAGACCATCGTTGTATTGTAACTCGTTTGTTTGACTTTGTCGCGAAAGTTGTTTTTTCTCAGTTTTGTGCTCCGGTTGGCCTGCCGAACGATCGATTGGTACGGATATTGTGGCCTTTTCTCGTTGGAGTGGGTAAAATCTAGGTTTCTCGTCCGATTCCCGCTTTGCACTTGTATCCTCTCTCTTGTTGGGTCGTGCGTTAACGCGCACAGAAAGACGGAATCTCGTGGTAGTGAAGAGCCAGAAAGTAGGTAGCAAGCGGTGGTTGTAGTTCAGGACCGGCACCTCAGAGAGAAGGGAAGAGGATGCGATCAAGAGACTTGGAACTTGGTAAAGGAAAGAAGGGAAAATAGGCCAGCAGTAAAAAGAAGTGGGCCGAAGAAACACCAACGCGATCTATAAGGTACCTTAGCTAAGATAGGGTACCTATCAACCTACTGTGAGGAGGGATATAGCAGATATTATCTGGCACCAAATACTGAGTCAGAGTCTCCGAAATACAGTCTATTTCGAAATGACATAAAAGAACACGTCTCTGTAATTGCAACTTCAGCTTTTCCCAACTCATCTGTACAGAAAGGAAATTATGCAGTATACTCCGCACCTCCATAAGATCCCCCCCAAAAAACAAGGCCCCTTACCAACGTCATGAGACCCACTCACTCTCTCTCCTTCAATTGTCTTCATCTTCTCTTCAAAACTAAAGTTGCTGCTAGCTTGAAAAGGCAACGTACCCAAGAACAATGTTGGTCACTGTCACTTTCTGACATGTGCCATCATGGCCGCATATGCGCCGAGTACGTATAGGTAAGGTATTCAACATCCCACGACAAGTCGAGAGCGCATCAATGATACCATGGTACGGGATATACCATCGCAAGTTAGACTATCGATATTTCCTGATTGCGAGCTTGTTTTCAACGATGCCCGTCCCACAACATATATAGTAAGATCAAGGTTTCTGGCTACTATGCCCGTGTATATCAACATACTTATGTTCCTAACTCTCGTAATCCTTTTAAAAGAAGAAGTTGGGATAACAAGAGACGCATAAGTATGGATCGTGCTGCACTTAGCCAGCTGCCCACCAGTCACAAGAGGATCATCGTTTCCGTTCCAAGTATTATAATTGTTCATCATATTTCGTTTTTGCATGCCGGCTATGGACTACTAAGTTACCCGTTCTTTCCATAATGCCAACGTCGTGGATCGGCCGAAATACATTTGCTTGGCCGTTGTTCTCGCGTAAGTATAACATCGCCGCTCACATGGTGACTGGCCTCCATCAGAGCCCATCCCAAAAAGCATCCAACCTTCCTGCCCTGCAACAGTCACGCAAGGCCGTCATCATCCACATACTTTTCCTCATAAACTATTCCATGCGGTCGTTTATGGGGCATCGTATGAGAAATATTTCATACTCATCGCCAATCACCTCCTTCCTGACTAACATCCTCTACTTGGTTGCCTATAGTACCGTAGCACGTCCCTGGCTCTTGTTCCACTCGCTTTCAATGAACTGTTGCACATTTGCATGTGCCATATTGAACAGTGGGCGAGCATGGTCGGCGACTGACATGCGGTTGGCGTCTTCAATTTCCATGCGTCGATGGAATTCACCTTTCTTTGATGGACGGCCATCCCCAATTGCACCAAACTGCCCCTTCCCCTTGGGATGCTGAACCTGTAAAGCAATCTCGCTTGGTGTAGCTACTAGGAAATCGGCTCCGTAGTACCAGGCGTGATTGATCTTATTGTTGTAGGCTTGAAGTTCCTTTGGTGCTCTGAATCTGGGTCCCGATGCGTATCGAGACTGGCTGAGCTCGGGCGATGATGTCCAGCATGCTGATGTTGTAGCAGTCACTAAGCCCCAGGATGGCGCTCCTCTCGCAGAATACTGGAAGCCTCGCGTCGTGGCGGTTGTGGGTGCACTTGGTCGGGGGATTTTGCAATTGGCAGACAATCCCTCCAACCCCTCTACGATTTGTGAAGCCTGTGAAGTAGCTGCTTCAAACGACGGTTTATTCTGTGCTAGGCTGTTGTTACTGATACCTGCTTGTCGTAGAGTCTGTCGAGTAATGATAAGAACGTCCTCATCTTCATCTTGCTTGACATCCTGGCTTGGGACGTTTGTGTGGAGTGCTTTGAAAGTTGACTCGAAGGTCGATGGTCGATATTGACGTTGACCAGGGGGGCCGGCAGTCAAAGGCCGTGGAGCACCGGTGTCAGGAGCCATGATACCAGGAGCACGCGCGGTATTGCTGCCGACTGCACGATTGAAGCTCCGGGATGGGCCAAGGGGAATGCCAGGCGACTTATTGGTCTGGGAATTCCAGAATGCGTCATCGAAAGATCTTCCAAGTGTAGGGTTCTCTAACTGTGGCGGCTGTAACACACTTGGCAGGGCATTGTTGTTGTTGTTGGACGCATCTTGGAGTCCAAAGGAATGAGTCATGGGAGCCAAAGGCTCATCAACACGGGTTGTCGTCTTCAGGCCCAGGGCTGGTTTGAGCCCCCGAAGAAGGGCTTTCTGAGCTCGCTTCTGATTGGGGTTTGGGTAAGACGCCAGATTGTGAAGAGACTTTACTGTCATATTCATCAACGGGTCCATGCCAAGTTCGCAATCTTCGTCGCTTTCCTCACTTGCTTCAACGTCGGTAAGCGTGTCTTGTTCAGCTTCGGAGAAAAGGGACGTAAGCGGCGACGGAGTCGCAGAAGGCACGATTCGGGGTACTTGAGCGGACATGTTGATACATCTGTGGTCTGTATCGTTCAAGGGGCTGGATGCTCTGTCGTAGGGCGTCTGAGGGCTGAACTGCTGAAGAGATGAGGATCGTGATCCAGCTTTGAGGGGCAGAGTGGCAAGAACAGATTTGGGAAGCAGAGATAGCCCAGCTGCAGGGAGACCAGCAGGCCACTTGAGAGAGCGACCGCGTCGGGCAGGCGGTTGCAGTGGCTGAGAAGTGCTAGGATTGTACGGGGTGCCAGCAGTGGTGTAAGTGACTTTTGAAGCCGAAGTTGGTGCAGTTGGGGTAGACGAAGTGATGCTGATGGGGGAAGACAAGTCCTCCATGCTGGCTCAGCTTGGTATATCTTGTTCGTCGGAGGTGGGAAGGGCGATCAGTATCTCTGAGATTCAAGGAAGGTGCCTGTTAGATTGGGTTTGCTAGATGGTCCAGATCTGTCTGAGTGTGGATGCAGATGAGGTCGTCGGGATATCCAGCAGAATGATGCTTCTGCAAAAGTGCGAGAAGGACTGTAGAAATGCAGAGGTGGCCAATATGCGTAGTGCAGTATAAGATACCTAGTTTAAAGAACGAGTGGGCTTTCACAGCTTTGCCATCACTTTAACACAAGTGATCGACCTTGTGGAGAGAATCAGGCTGGAGAAATAAAACCGAGGTTGAGGGTAGGAAGACGGGATTGAAGAGAGAGAGGCGGGGAGGGAGGGAGGGAGAGAGAGAAAGAAGTGTGTCGGTTATGGTGTTGGCAAGAAGCACTCCGGGGAAGACAGAGGGTATGCGCCTTCCTTCTTAACTCCAGCCCACGCTACGCAACTCGCAAGAGCAGGAAGGTGCCATATACCAAAACCGGATGTAAATGCAGGAACATACAAAGAAATCTGGCGAAACACTTGGCTACAACCTAGATCCAAAAGTTGAAGATATGTATGAGTTAGGATGAAGATTAGGTATTTACCCGGCTTTGTAGGTTTGGTGGAAATGCTTCTTTTCGGCAGAATGTGCAGAATTTCATAATTCTTTTCTTCACTACCTAGCGTTTCATGAGTAGGTAAGCAGAGGAAAATCAAATACTTCATTCAATTTGTAACGAACGAGCTTTTGGTGGCTGCAGAGGCACTCGGATTCTCTGACCCCATGTGTCGTTCATTTCCAAGCCTAACAGTGACTGTCAGTGTCAGGATGCATTACTGCAATGTAAGCGCTGTATGAAAGGCGAGGCTAGGAGGTAGTCAACAAAAGCACGACAACCATTCAATATAGAGTGGCAGGTAGATTGGTGCTCTAGTAGGTAGTTAGTTTGTCATTACAAACTGGGGTCTGGGTCTGTCTGCCAGGAAACCTTGGGAAAGGCTCTGGCTCAGTTGCTCTTTCAGCTCGAGTCACATACTCGAGCCTAGGGTCCAAGGTACTCTGAATTCCCTTGACGATGAATGGACCTACGCGACTTGATAGATTCAATTTGCATGACGGTGAATACCTACCTATGTTAGCTGGCCAGATACCGTCGGTAGCGATTGCATATGCAAGCGGTACTACCAAGTCACGGTTTGCCATGCAGTTCTCGAATGCCAACAAAGAGCGTTGTCCAACTTCAGCTGAGAGTCCACAACTTAGTATGCATAGAAGAACACTGTTCAATTGATGCTTCATTATTCATCCTCTAAACGAAGATATATACTCATATATTTGTTCCCTCCTCTCATTCATCTCAATCGATGTACTCTCAGGAACCACTTTTACCTGCAGAGCCTCATTTGTCACGTCGTGTTTCCTTTCTTCTTTCTTTCCATCAATCAACCAACCAATCAATCAATTCAAATCAACAACCGTGCTAGCAACACGCCCTCTTTTCAGGACGGTGTGGATTCCATTGACATCAGACGTGGCTTGTCATGCAATAATTGCCAAGTAAGGAATCACAGCGTCCTGCGCTATTGCTAAAGACAAAACAACAATAATAGGGGTACAAGAAGCGTCAGGCGAACAGAAACTGTGCCTGATCTCCATGACATCGAAGTAAATGAAACAAAAATATACGTTTCAAGGAATGTAATACACAAAGGATGAAGAATGGTAAACCAACACAGTTTGTTACAGTTAACCAACAATAAGACACTAGATTAGTCTAAGGGACAATTGTGTCTCCAGGCATACCGTCATAATAAGAAGAATTGCAAGGCATTAACACCCGAACAACAGGAGAAGGGTCGGGTATATATTAGAAATAACCCAGTCTGGTGACCATGATACTATCATAGAAGCTCACTAGGCAGATTCACTAGAAACCGCTAGGTGGGTAGGCGCTTCCGGGTACCATTCCAGGGCCTCGTCCAGTCCGTGAACTAGGCAATTGAAAGTCGGGGGTATCTAATAGCATGTCTTGACGCTGCTGTTGTTGATGTGCTGGTCGGCGATGAGGGGGTCCTTGTTGGTACGGCAGCGGCGGGGGATTGGGGTTCCAACGCGGGTTGATTCCACGCTGGGATATGGAGGTAAACGTTGAATGCTCAGACTCGGCAGGGCTTCGAGTCCCCGCATTATTGGCATGAATATCCTCGTACATAGGCTCAATAGGGGGTGGTTGAAGGTTGTTACTTGCGGGTGGTGCATCGGAGGCGAAACGGGGATCAACATCTTCATAATAGTTGCTATTCCCGGCTGCCACAGGCTGTTGGACAACAGGTGGTGTCCTTCTTTCAGTGAGTTCAGCTCTTGGTTGACCAGTTACCAGAGGTGACGGGGCTCGGGGGGAATTTCTGCCATCGCTCTGAGTCCATCCTGAGCGGGGTGGAACATACTGCCTGGCCATCTGGTCAGTATCGTGGGAAATTAATGAGCGGGAAACATACTCATCGGTGCTATATTTACTTCCCTCGCTCATGTACGTATCATGTCGCTGTGGGATCTGCCCCTGCTGGAGTCCAACCATACCTGCAACATCCGCGTCACTGTCCCGAAGCTGTCCGTAGGTTCCTCCGTCATGACGCTGAACTGCTGGGGTTGCATCCATTTCTACTGCGCGACCCCCAACAGTGGCAGGCTCGGTTCCTGGCAAAGGCGGTGGCGACTCAGCTCGAGGCAATGTGGACTCTGGGCTGTAAGCAGTGTAAGTGTTCACACTCGGCATCGAAGGATTCGTCGAGCTATATCCATTAGATGGCTCTGACGGCTGAACATCGTGAGCAAAGTTTTGAGCAGGTGACGGTCTCCGATCGTAAGGACCGTTGCTGTATCCTGGGGGCGCATTCAGACCTCCCCTCATTCCGTTCGAAGCATAGCCTCCTCGGTTGGGTTGTCCATAGCCTCCTCGTCCTCCTCTGGGACCAAATCTAGCCCTTCCAGATGGCCCGTAGCCTCCACGACCTCGTACTGGTGCTCCATAGTTATCATATCCGCCACGACCATAACCCCCTCTTCCACCGCGGTAGCCTCCTCCGGCTCCTGTTCCACGGTTACTCATGCTTGGAGAAGGTCCTCTCCGCGTTGCATATGGGTCGGTAGCATTGTCGATTGGGTTACCAAACTGATCGCGAGAACCTTGCCTCTGTGGGTTCCTGCTAAAGGCCGCAACCTCACCCACGCTTGCCACCTCGTTAGGGGGTGCTGGTGATCTGTTTGATGTGGTCCGGCGAGTGAGAGGGATGGCTTCTTCGCTAGCTTGGTCGCTTCTACTCTTCTGTTCGAAGGTTGTAAAGGACGGAAGATTGTCATGGACACCATTGCCACCGCTCACAGTGGGTAGAGTTGGTTGTCGAGAAACTTCAGGCTCCACAGTCGTCTTATCTTGAGCAGTTCTGTTGTAATAATTCTCGCCGCTCATTTCAGCATTCTGAGCGATACGCCGCTGCCTGTCTTTCCTGCTGACTAGAGTGCGACGCATCGCACAAGTTACCAACCCACTCATGGCAACTAGGATAGTAGCAGCAAGAACGAGGTAAGATCCCCATGCTAGATGTGGTACAAATAGAAGCACATCGATCAAAAAGGCTAGCAAGCAAACAAGGAAGTCTATGAGGAGGAAGATAAATAAAATGAGCAGGTATCTTGTCGAGTGCGACGGAGCGTGCAAGTGAGACACAGCCGCCATGATAGTCATGACAAGGGTAATAAGTGCCGCGACTGGATGCACAATAAGAATGGCAGATAGCGTATTCCGAACGCCAGATGGCAAGTCAAAGGCTTGACTATCATCCCCGACTAATTTGGCTGGGAGAAGCATCAGTACAACTCGAAAGAGGGAACGCGTTTCAACATCACGGTAGACTGACCAGTGTCGTATCCAACCCCGATACCGCTACATCCTTTGCCCTGTTGGCAATAGCCAAAAACGCCATATGTTACACCGCCGAAGTCGCTCAGTGGAATGGCTTCAATGATTGGGGTTGATATAACAGCTAACAGGAGCAAAGCAAAAGCTGCGAACAGCAGCACTGTCAACGGTGTGCCAGGCCGTAACATGGCAACTGTGCGCTAAGCGCCCGACTCAAGACCGATAAGAGGACGACAGAGCAAGCGGCCGACGTCGTGAAGACGCGGGGACGGAAAGGCAATGTATCAACGTGTAGCTCTTTCGCTATTTCCTTCTGCTGCAACGTTGATGAATAACATTGGCGAAGGGAGGGTGAGAGTTGTCGGGGAAATGAAGCAACAAGGCCAGTATTGGGCTGTAAAGTTGAGCTGTCGAATCCTAAATTCTTCAAAATATGTCTCCTCAAGAAATTGGCCTGGTTCTTATTCTTTTTCTCGCGTTTCTGCCGAGATCCTTCGTACGAATTGGGGGCTCTATCAGTGAATATAGCAAGATGCAGCGCAGTCGCGAGACCTGAGTTGTCCCTGTTGCCGGTATAAAGTCATAGACTTGAAGAAGTAAACAATGGTCGCCAAGCCGCCTGATTATACTGAAAACGCCCCAGTGGGCTTTGACAATCGATACTATCGTCAATATGTTTCGACACCGTGCTTCGGTCGAGAAATGAGTTGGGAACGAATGTCGTGGTCGAGACTGAGCAACGAGGAGGGGGATTGACTTTGGGTGTTATCGGACAAGGTGCTTGGTTCTGGTCTATCTAACTTGACTCTTTGTGGCTTAGCAGAGTACTAGGGGAACGGAGAGCGCTAATCTCAGATTAGCTAGTCGGGTGGGAATGTCGATGCGCTGGTCCAGGAACAAGGGGGCCAGCCCCAGCCGTCTGACCTCGCCGAATACACGCGAGACCAGTCTAACAAAGGACGTCGCAGAAATTTATATTCCATGCATTTATTGATCTGGCCTACTTGTTGTATCTTTAGCACATGCTTTATCCGCAGCCAATTCTCTTACCGGGGGTAAATAAAGACTCCATCCTCAAAGTTTGTGCCACTAGCCAGCTTACCAAGGTTGCCAATAAGACAATATTAGCCACAAGTTTAATTTCTCAATCATGGATGTCATGCTGCTTATCCTACCACGACCACACCATTTCACAGCATGAGGGAAATGGGAGGCTAGCACATGTGGGTCCCCACACGTTGCAACATGCCCACCAATCCCACGTTGGAAGGCAGTCGTCATTTTCGGTTGCAGGTCATACAGTACGAACCCTCTATCGCGCCTCTTCTGTGCTTAGCTCGATATCCTTGTCCTAGGCTGCGAGTTTAGGCTCGATCTCTGCTCCGTATGTATGCAGTCTATGAAGCTAAAAAAGACAACTCCACCGACTTTGCAATCTTGTCTGGTTGGGTGACACATGTACCTAGTGAACAACCTGTGTTCTTCGCTCGAACGAGAGCAACTTTCCTTGTGGCCTGGGCCCTTGCTATATATCTGAGACAACGTTTTGTCCAACACTCAATCTTCCCATCGCAACAACCCAGGTCGATAATGTGCACTGACGTGGCTAACTAAGTCTCAGGAACAAACTTTTATGGTAGTACCATGTAGTATTCCGCATTTCGTGGGAAATTTGATCTCAATTGTTTTCTCAACGTGGTCACGCGCGTCTAAAGGCTCAGTTGCGATGGTACTAATATCAAGGCCAACGACGGCATCTTCGTCAGTCACAACACTACTATAGATGAGTCGCCGGTCTAGCATGTTGACTTATTCACCATAGACCGATGCATTTGCTAACAATAGATTTCGACCGGCTACATGCATGACCCGGAGGCTATAGCTTCCGACCATGTAGTCATCATACCCTCCTCTTGTGCCGCAATTAATATGCAACGGGCCGATGCTCCTCTCGGACCCAGGCCCAGCGGCCAAGCCAGCTCAGCAAAGGGAAGAAGAAAAAACCTGAGCAAAGGATGATGCCCATGCTTTGCCCCTCGATATGTAAAAGCTGCCTTGGCTTGATCACCTACAGCCCCATCCTCATTATGGCTTTCTAAATGACGAAACACACTGCATAATCTTCTTGTTTCGACAACTGGGGTATAGTCTCATACTCGTCAGCCCATTGATACACTTGTTGATCAAGGGCTTCGCGTTTCGACTCGTGTTTGATAATTTATGGTTTTGTTAGTGCTCTTTTTATTTACATGTTTATTAACTTACACCGTTCAACAAAGTGCTACAACTTCCATTTCTCAAAGTTCTTTCTGTTATGCTTACCCTATAGCTAGTCGATGTTCCACGGTATCTGGGCAGCCGAATCACGCTAAGAATTATATGCATATGATCACTGTATGTCCAGAATCTCAACCCAGGGAACTAGTATAATATAATAATGGTGTTAGAACCGAGATAGTATAATGAATCCGATATGTCGCTGGGTTCTAATAATGTCAACATTGAATGAACAATGTGAACATGAGCTACGGGGAAGACAGTGGACAAGAAAAGCTCCACTGTACCTTGGAGACGCTTCCCAAGTGTACTCCGTAGTACCTTACTTATAGTACGCACTACGTCTAACCTAGACACTCGGTTGCTCGTATAATATTTCTTCAATATCGGATTTACATGTCGGTTACGTCACACAGAGTCGGGAAATCGGCCAGAAATTGCACCGACTTGCGGAAGGCGATCGTGTGCCCCCCGATTCTCCGAGCCGTTCCGGGTATAAACTATCGTCATCAATGACTCCGGAGATAGGGCAAGAGGATTATTGCATTTCGCACTTATCTTTTCCTTCAACCTTTCCCCCCTCAGTGTCCTCATTCAGTCACTCGTAGCTGTATTTCACTCAATCCTCATGGTACTCGATTGTTGATCGCCAGCATGTTGCGCAACGCCATGCAAGGCCACTCAGCGCGCGCCACCATGCGCTGCCGACACATAATGCTCGCACCATCGTTGCGAAGATTACAATCAGGTGGTCCTTTCCAGGCCATGCGACCGCCGTCGCCAGAGGAGCTTGGTGCCCCCCGGCGTGCAAAGGAATATAGACAGGGACGGCGGTGGGCGCGGCGCTTGCTCTTGACATGCGTCTTGGGAGGTACTATCTATCTCGGGGATCGTCAGATATACGCATCTGGTTTTGGCCGCTCTCTACATACGTTCGGAACCGGCTTGCTCGTAGCCTTCGACTACAAGCTGAATTTTCGACCCCAGCCTATTACTGGCGGGACTGTGCAGGACTTGCATAATCGGAATGCCGAGCGGCTGTTCAGTCTTCTCCGTTCCAATGGTGGACTTTATCTCAAGATCGGACAGGCCATTGCAATGCAGAGTGCCGTGCTGCCCCCCGAATTCCAAAAGATGTTTAGTCGCATGTTTGACGACGCACCGCAAGACGATTGGAGTGACATCGAAGCAGTGATAAGACAAGACTTCGGGAAAAGTGTCGAAGAGGTCTTTGGCGTCAGCTTTACAGGAAAAGAGGGAATGGGGTTGATGGAGCGCAAGGCTCGAGCGAGTGCGAGTGTTGCTCAAGTCCATTGGGCCAGACTTGCGGATGGTCGCGAAGTCGCTATCAAAATACAGAAACGGGAGATTGCCAAGCAAATATCATGGGATCTATGGGCCTTTAAGTAAGTCCGAAAAATGCAGAACTCCCGCCTGCTTACTGATGCAAAACAGGACGGTCGCGTGGATATATTCGAAGTGGTTTGATCTCCCACTGTATAAGCTAGTCCCTTTCATTACGGAGCGACTCGAGTTAGAGACTGATTTCGTCAATGAGGCCAAGAATTCAGAAAAAATGCGAGAGCTTGTTAATGCAGAGAAAGCCTTGAAAGGGAGGGTATACATTCCTACGGTTTATCCCGAATTTACGACAAAGAGAGTTCTCGTGACCGAGTGGATCGAGGGTGTGAGGCTTTGGGATAAGAAAGCCATAACATCGAGATGGCTTGGAGGGCATGGCAATGGATCTCCTGGCGCTGGTCGCCCACTCCCGCAAATTGATATTGAGGCTGCACGACTTGAGCTTCGGACAAGGCCATTTCAAGAGAACCTCAAGCCAGAACGTCAGGAATTATGGAGAGGCCGACGAGGCCGTGGGGGACTTGGTCTGTCAACACGAGAAGTCATGACGACCATGGTGGACCTCTTCTCCGCACAGATTTTCAAGTGGGGTGTCGTTCACTGCGATCCGCACCCTGGCAACATCTTTATCAGACGTTTGCCCAATGGGCAAGCCGAGCTTGTGCTTATTGACCATGGCCTCTATGTGTACATGTCATCAAAGTTCAGAAACGAATACGCCACCTTCTGGAAAGCACTCATGACCTTCGACAACAAAACAATATCACAAGTGACAGAAGCATGGGGGATCAAGGCGGCAGATCTCTTCGCGAGCGCAACATTACTGCGGCCGTACGAGGGTGGAGATAAACGCACGCATAATGGGATAATGAAAGAGCTCGAAGGCAATACGCCGGCTGAGCGGCATTACGAGATGCAGAAGCGAATGAAGCAGGGCATTCGAGAGATCCTGACAGATGAAGATAAATGGCCACAAGAGCTGATTTTCATCGGTCGCAATATGCGAATCGTACAAGGCAACAACCAGTATCTCGGATCACCAGTCAACCGCGTCAAGATGATGGGCGAGTGGGCGAGCCGAAGTCTATTCGAGGACCCCCAGTTGCCACTGAGTCAACGCCTTCAGAATCGCTGGCGCCATATCATCTTCAAGACTGTCATGGCTGCCTCTGATGTGGCCTTCTACATCTTTAAGCTGCGCCAGTGGTTGGGCCTTGGAGGGGGGATGGAGGATGAAATGGAGAAAAGAATGAAGGATGTCGCACAAGACTTTGGCATCGAGCTTCAGCATGATGTTTTTGAAGGCTGAGCCAGTGCCACTGCAACAAGTCTGGTGGAAATGTAAAATACTATGTACACGACAACTTATGACGAATTCCCCTTACATGTAACAAGAATATGTACGGTTCATATAGATAGACGACGATTGGCACTGCCTGGTAATTAACGAGCTTGCCTAAGTCAAAAGATAGAACCCTCTCAAGATCGACAAACGAGTCCACGATATCATCCAGACCATTGGATTCGAATACATTTGCATAGAAACTGTATGCGACAATATCCCACTGCATGTTGTCTTTATCCCCTATATTTTATTTGGTCCAGTGGCATGTCACTTGAAGAATGACTTGTAATTGATTGTTGCTACTATACCAAGGGAGACATTTGAGGGGAGGAGTACAGCCCATTAGCCGTAGCCACCACCAAATCGCATATTTTGTGCCCTTTGTAGATGGCCTCCTCCTGTTGCCGTTACCCTATTATTTCGACTTGATCACTGAATCAATTGTCCTACCACGCGATAATCACATACTGACGCCTCATGTTGTCCTAGCTCACCGAGGCCAGTGTGACACGAATCGTTTTACAGATGAATATTTTCATTCATTGATGTACCAGGAGGAAATTACTGAAATAGGGTTGATAGATGTTCAAGGAGTAGCTCAAACCGGAATTGGGATGTAGTATCCATATGGGGACCTGCAGTTCGCTTCTTCAAAAGTTCATACCTGTAGCATTTAGTCAAATCAGGTAACAAAGCAGTGATTGCCATCGTTTTAGAAACAGCGTACAAGAAACAGGCCTTGGAAGCTTGGGTTGGGTAGGACCAAGTGAATGGATCTGTCGGTAAATGAACTAACGAAAGAAACCTTTTGTTTCTTCGCTTACATGCATTAGATGCCCTGCAATTAAAGCCACTGTGTTTTATCTACACTTCTACTAGCTTCCATGTTCATACGGAGTACAGCCACCTCACAATACCTAGGATATGGAGAACTACAAAAACTGCTCGTGCTTTGACGTTATATGTCCTTCAATGGAGGTAATTATTCTTATTGCCCAGAAGAACGACACTTTATGCTTGTTATCGACGGATGCAGATAGTGGAGGCATCTAACCTCTTCCTCAAGCCCAGTTGAGTTGACACTTGACAAGCCGTGTACCTGCATCAGTGGGTCGATCCGATACAGCCTAAAAGATGGGATTTCTGGTTTTGGTTGGCTCATAGAAATACCTTCATGTCTGTGCTTGAATTCAACAAGGACACGGAACAATATACTGGGATTCGGTTCTGATCATCGAGCTTGTATCCGGAAATGCAAGCATAAGGCCGCACGTACTCCGTACAGAGTACTCCGCACCACGAGCCAGGTAATCAAGACACAAAGACACAGACTTAATACATTGGAGTCTAAGCCCAAAGCCATGTGCCTGTGGCGTTAGATTAGCGGGACTGTCTCCACCTCATGATGCCCCCGCTCATAAGGATAAGGACCATGCGACCAGGACCCAGTAACCAGGACCGCTGCAAGACTGGAGCTTCGTTGACTGTGTTGTAAGACATAGTCGGTGTTCAATGGTATAGGAAGAATGTAGGTGGGAGATACACAGGCTCCTTTTCTCTTTCAGACCACTGACTGCGGCTTTAAATTGACAAATAATCACCGTCTCTTATAAACGGAGTCAAGTCCTCATGCAGAATTGGCTTGCCCCTAATGCCCCTTGCCCCGTCCAGTCAGATTGTCTTGGACCCTGCACCATTGCTAGCGCTGCAGAAAGTTAGCGAATCAGTTTTAAGGGTCCGCATCCGGGATTGTGTCAGAACAAATGCGCCGATGGATTGCGAATCCTGACGTCTTTCAGATGATATGGTAAAAGTCATGGTAGTTGAAACGAGAGGGGAAAGGAAAAGAAGCCTTAGCATGCTGTCTGATCGAAAGCTTGGCATCTGTTAATACCTACAGGCCACAATGTTTCCGGGCTAGGCTTGTGTGTTCTAACGTTTGAAGCGACCCAAATATGGATGATACCTAAGGTATGTCTCGGACATATCATCGACAAGCGCACTGTAGGTCAGGTAATATGGATCAAGCCCGACGCCTATACGTAGCAATGAGTCCGACTGGGCATTAAGACTTGGTTGTCCATGTATAAGGGCTGGAGTCGGTACTACCTTGGCTGGTATTCTTTTGGGCACAATTCCGTTGTCTAAGCTCTATTGAATCCATGCCTGTAATCTCGACCTCCCTCAGTGCCGTTTTTGACCTTCCACAACTTAAACAAGAAAGCCAATCAGGTGCCTTATCTTACTCGAAACGAGCCTGGGCCACCCCTGGCAAATAACTCCCCCAAAAGCGCCCGACTCTGGAGACGCGCATCAATCCTGTTTCCATCTCATCTCAAGGCTACGAATCAACGTCGGGAAAGACCAGGCAAGACACGTCGTCCAGCTCATCTCCCCCTTTGCAAACTAAACGAACGCCTCGACCTTCATTCAGAGACTCAAATTCTCAAACACTCTCCACTGATCTCTTACACCTGGCACTGGCGGCTCTCCACACCAGGTACATGCGCTCTATACCTCAGGTAGGTACTAACCCATCAACCGTATCACCTCCCTCCACTGTACAGATCCCCTTTTCTGCTCCTCAAGAGTTATCTGGAAAGGCCTGTCGTTGATAGAGGGCAAGTGAAGATTAGTCAATGTTTATTCAGTTGACATCTGCTGATTGTCCGTCTACGAAGTTGTTGCAACCAGCTGCCTCGTGCCACCCACTCGCTTGGACACTTTGAACTATCAACCAAGACCGCCCACTATCGCACGCCCATCCACCTTCCGTCTCGATCGTTCCCGTTCCTCCACTCCGATCCATTGCCATTTGTTCTCGACTTCATTTAAAGTCACCCATTTAGTTTTTGCTCCCCATCCTTCCATCTTAGGCCCCCCGCTACTTCCACGTGCTCCGCACCCTCCTTCTCGCGCCGCCCACTCTAACCTTCTGGGTTGCCTTCTCTTGGCCGCGACTCTCTTCCTTTTCATGATCAATTCCCTAGAGGATGAACAACGAGCAGCCTCGCCGTACCAGTTTCGGCATGTTACTCCGACGCAGCAAAAGTGGCGATCTAGGCAAAGGTGGTCGTAAGGCGCAGGCCCTTAGGGAGGCTGAGCTTGAGCGACAGCGCCAGGCCTCGACGCGCATTGCTCCTAAGCTGCCCGAATTCGCCAACCATTCTGAACAACTATCTAAATCCTTTGGCCCCGAGTTACGCCCCGAGTCACCAGCCAACGTTCCTCGATCAGCAGATTACACTACTGTCAGGCCTTCAGCAGAATATCCTCGGGGATATGGCGCTGCTGCACATGCTGCCGTCCCTGTTCCGCCGTTGCCCAACGGTGGTTTCGATCCATATGCCAGAACAGAAAGTATGACGAACCGTGGCCGCTACAGCTATGCTAGTAGTGCTATTAGCACGGTCAACAGTCCTCGTCGTGTTCGCAGACGAAAGGACCCGACGCCTTTGAAGTGAGTTTATAATCAATGTAATTCATTTATTTGGCAGTCGTGTGCTAATACCAAACCAGCATTCTCGTCATTGGTACCCGTAACTCTGGAAAAACATCCTTTCTTGAGTTTCTCAAAACAGCGCTCGCTCTTCCACCCAAGAAACGAGCCAAGAAGGGTGACGACGAAGTGCCGCAGAATCGCAACACCCCCTCTGGAAACTTTATTCCACACTACCTTGAAACTGAGATTGACGGGGAGCGTGTTGGTCTCACCATCTGGGACTCAGAAGGCCTAGAGAAGAATGTAGTCGACCTTCAACTTAGGGAAATGTCCGCATTCCTTGAAAGCAAGTTTGAGGAAACCTTTGCAGAGGAAATGAAGGTTGTACGCTCTCCTGGTGTGCAAGACACCCACATCCATGCGACCTTCCTTGTCCTTGATCCTTCTCGACTGGATCGCAACATTGCATCCGCGAGGAACCCAGCTATCAATGGTCAGCAAAACGGACACCTTGGTGCGCGTGTGCTAGGGAGTCTGGATGAAGACCTTGATTTGCAAGTTCTGCGTACCCTCCAGGGCAAGACTACTGTGATCCCAGTCATTGCCAAGGCTGACACCATTACCACCAAGCATATGAATGTTCTCAAACGAAGCGTTTGGGACAGCATCAAGAAATCGGGCCTAGATCCATTGGAAGCACTTGGCCTTGATGATGAGGACGAGAGTAGTATTACTTCCGAAAGGATTGCCGAGGAGGACGAGGAGGAAGATGAGGTCGGACACGAACGCGGTGGTGCCCAAACCCCTGAAAGCCAGGAATTCCCGCTACAGGGCCATCGAGAAAGCCCAGCGGCGTCTCCAAGCTCCAAAAGACTATCCACCAGCTCCATTCGACGACACAAAGCACAAGAAGAGACCAAAGAAAAGGAAGATGAGATCCCTTTCCTGCCACTTTCCATCATCAGCCCGGATCTTTACGAGCCAGCTGTCATTGGCCGACAGTTCCCGTGGGGTTTTGCTGATCCTTACAATGAAGAACATTGTGACTTTCAACGCCTGAAAGAGGCTGTTTTTAGCGAATGGCGTGCCGAGCTACGTGAAGCTAGTCGGGAGCAGTGGTACGAGGGATGGAGAACGAACCGACTCAAGCAGAGGGATGTCCCCTATCGTCATCGATGAATGCTCTTTATTGAAGGCAGCACCTACTAAGCAGGACTGATACGCCCTTAAATACGATCAAAATGATCAAAAAGACACTTTGTCACTAGACCATGTCTCTGCTTGATACGGCATGGATCCAAACGCTCTTACTGCGACCATCTTTCTTTGCTCACACCACTTTAACGCTATACCATTTCCCGGAAAACTGCAGCATACCCTTTGTCATCTTGTTATAACATTTCTGAACTTGCGAGGAAGATTACTCTTTTATACAGATAAGAACTGCTTCAACTCGCCTTTACGGCTGATACCCATTTATTGAGACACCCGACTGTTTCTACCGCGCGGCTTTTGACTTTTAGACCGACGGACGAGCTAGTCTCGCAAGGTTTTATCAACTGCTTATGATATGTCCTTCACTTCTTTCTTTCTCTCTCTTTCGACAAACATCTCAGACACTGGCGTTTGTGGCATTGGTTTTGAAATGAGAGGTCTTTATGGGCGTCTTATGGCTCCGCGTTATAAATCGGACCCTTCTTGACATCACTATACCGGCGCTTATTGCTGTTGTCTGGACGGAGGGCACGATTAGCTTTGATCAGCACCATTTCTTAGGGCATGGAACACAATAGCTATGCCGCCAGCCATTGCGAAGAGTCTGGGCAAGGATGATGATATGTGTAGCTGGCTCTGTAGACTCAGGTGTCAGAGGAGATAGCCCTTTCTTTAGTCAGCTTATTTTACTAGAAATCCATTACGCAACTCGTGCTTTTTTAACTATGAACTGACTTAGAAATGCTATGCAATTTTTGACCAGGGCTTGTAAATGTACACCACAGCAGCGAGTAAGGACTCGTCCCCTCCTGGGCGATATGGCCGCCCTGATACAATAATGTAAAGCATAACGCCAATGAAGAATTGTACATGATTGTAACCACTCGCTGAATTTACAAACTTCCTCATCCATGTCGCCCAATCTCAAAATGTGGATTCTGCAAGCTCAGTATTGATAGGATTGTTATGGTCATCAACATCCGCCTCTTTACGAAACGGATTCTTCCCAACTCCTTTGATCTTTGCAATTTCTTTATTACTCAAAGCTACGCCGTCAAAGTTCGGAGGCAATAGCATGTCAATCATGAGAATCTCCGTCTTGAGGTTTCGAGCACGGTCGCGGTACGCCTGTTGATTGCGTGGGTATTCAAACCGCTCACTCATGGTTTCGATGGACGACCAACGGACACCGTATTCCTGGATGAGATCTAAAAGGACCTGGGAGTCGTGCTCACTCCAAGGAACGCGTTGCCGTGGACCTTGTCGCTCTGGATCTGCCATACGAACCTCCTTTTTCCTTTGTGATGCGGCCTTTGCGATAGCATTGAAAGGTCTGGAGGACATTGGCGCCTGCGATACTGAACGTAACCCCATATCCTGCGACGACTGCTCCATAGATAGGGGGGGTACGGGATCTGAAGAGAATGAAGACTCAGGAACATGCCTTTGAGGACGCCGTGGGACAGGTTGTGGCCTTGGAGGTGGCGGCATCTGTCGTTGTAGCTCTTCTCGCCTAGCTGGATCAACACGCCGAGTGTCGGTCTCAAATGAATCTTCCCCATCTTCATCATCCTGGGAGAACCGCGGTCGTTTCTGCCCTCTTTCTCGTTCCCTCCCGCCTTGGGTAGCTAAACGATAAGAACTTGCGGGGGGAAATGGGCTACCACCCAGGAGGTCGGCATTTGAATGCTCATGATAATCACGGGGAACTCCGGATCTGAAATCTGCAAGCTGTTGGTTGGAAGGGGGAACAGTACTGGTTGCTCGACTTCCACCACGCAAGGCCTGAATGGACTTTGGCCCGACAAACAAACTCGGCCTGCTGGGAGGTCAATATTTAGCTCTGTTACCAGGTAAGAACATTACTTACTCTGCCTCCTGACTTCCCATACGCACAATTGATTGTGACTCCGAACCATAATCATTGCCTTGGCTGTAGGCAGTCTCTTGCTGGCCGTGTTGAGAAGGTTCAGTACCCACCCTCTCGCTCTCTGCGTACTCCAAAACTCTGTATAAGCTCTCAAAGCATCCTAAGAGATCTTGGACCAAATCATGCAGGGGAAAATGTCTTCTTAGCTCAGAGATTCCCCCATCCTCCTTGTTATCATCGATAATCTTCTTGATCTCAGCGATCCGTGCTGAGCAGAGATCATCAACGTCGTGATCGTCACCAGCTACACCGCCGAGGCCTTTGAAGTAACCCCCAGAGAAAAGTTGTGGATATGAAGGAAACCGTTCTTCGCCTTCTTGTCCCGACCTGTTCAAATCCTTCAAAATTTCTTCTTCTTCTTTGCAGAAATATGCAACAAGAAGATCCCGAAAGTCCTTTTCGTCCTTGTGATGAGAATAATCCTCGACAAATAACCAGGTCCGTAGGTGTAATGTGCTCTGAGGGTTTTGAAACATATTATCAGCTGGGGTGAAGTATTCAGGCAAAACCCGGTTTAGGCATTCGAGAAAAGGAAAGATGGCCGATGTCTCCTCATTCTCAAGCCCGTAAAGCGTGTCGTAAGCTGTCACAACATTGGTGCGTGCGATCTGAGTAACCCTAACGCTTTGGTTTCGAGTGAGAGTGTCACCCACGAAGTGCGCGAAATCAATGAATGGTGCCGTGTTAGACCGATCAAGTGCATCATATTCTGTTCTGATAGTGTGGAAAGCACGTCGCTTGATGGCCAAGATTCCATTGAAGACATCGTCAGCTTCTTTTCCTTGGAAGCAGTCAAACAGACTATCAGCGGCTCTTGCTAAGTCTGGAACGCTTAGCTCCAAGATCCTTTGCTGTGGTGTTATGGTGATTGCTGAACCAAGTCGAAGCTCTTCGATGGGGCTGTTGACGTCGTTAAGTTCTTCGCCGGAGTCTTCCGGTTGCGAATAATCAAACGGATCATAGAATTCGGTTTCATCGTCAGGCTTTAGTGGAATCGACGGGATGCTAATGTCGTCTTGAGCCTGAGGGGGTGGATTACGGCGAGCGACGGGATCGTTCAGTAAAACCCTAATAGGTTCAGGTACAGGGACGGGCTTAGTAACAATATTCTTTGTTGGGCTTGTTTTACGCTGAACCGGGTCGTTTCTTCGGTTACTACGTCTCGGTCCGCGATTTTCATTCTGAGCAGATGCACGCTCTGAGCGCCCTGCGGCGGCACTTCGAGTATTCATTATTGCGTAAAGACTTATAAATGTGTATGCGTGAGGTTGAACCTGGGTAGCGCCAAACGCGCTGTCTGTTGTGTCGATTAACCCTTCGCGTTATCAGCCAATAAGAGCTAACCCTAACCCAATACCGTCGGGTTAGGGTTACACGAAGGCATCTAACGTGTCCCTGGACCAAACTCTTGGTGTTGAGAGCTTTGACCACCCTCCCAAAGAGCCACCACAGACGCCAAATCACGGGACATGTTAGCTTCCACCAGGTACGAAGTACTCCGTACACCTGCCTCTATCCGTAAGGCGACCTTACATTTTTGCATATAAATACAATTGTAATCTTCTTTTCTTGTATCCGTATGACAATTACACCGCAACTTATGATTTCTCAAAAATATATAGATCATAGGACAAAGAGAGGATATAACCCACCGGTCATGTTAGCGATGTCTTCCAAGTAACTGTTTCACTCCCGACTCTTAATATGAGAACCATCAGCCATGGCTATTCTGTCACCAATGTCGCCTCAAAATAGATTTCGCACTCATGGCTATTAGACGGTCTTCTTGGCGGATTTGTTGACATGATCAGGCCCAAAGAAGCCCGTAAGATAGACTGTTCGCGTGAAGAAAAGGAATAACTAAGTCATAGGTCAGCGTCAACCATAACGCTGGAGATGGATGATATGGCAGCATCTGATTTTATTCCTGGCTTACCGTCATTCCAACATTTCCCCAAGTCATGGCATTCCACTGGAGAGGGCTTAGTAACCTGTCCCGGCCTATCCCATAAGAGCTGAAGCCAACATGACCAATATCTGCGAGCCAAAGAGCAACGAGATATGAGCGAACAACTCGGGTTTCAGTCGTGGTTGACAGGATGGCGACCCCAATTAATGCTAGCAGCAGATATAAATTCCCTAGCTGCCAGGCTATAACAATGCTATTGGGAGAAGCATCACCGTCGTTCTTCTGGGGAGATTGCTCTCCGATGAACCAAACTGGATCAATGACGGCACCAGCAAAACCAACAACTCTGATTCTTGATGTTAGCAGATGTGCCATTTACGGGTCGGGTGCAAGACCCTTGTTATGAAATCTTACAAAGAGATAGGCTCTATAATAGTGAATACTATTCGTGGAAAGGTGGGGAGAGAAGAAGCCATGATAATTGATTGATTGATTGATTGTTGAACGGGCCAGTAATATATGGCCAAGTAAAGCTGAAGAAATAAGGAGGGTACATATAAGATACCAAGTTTGATATTTGTTTCCCCAGAATCGAATCAAGCTCCGGTTTCAGATGCCGCTATCCACCTGGAACTGCTCGGGATAGACCGGAGCGTAGCCGATATCGTTGGCTGGTGAAACCGAGCCGAGGGGAGGAAAGAAAACTCAGAATCTTGATCCTAAGTGACAATAATACTTAGCTAGCTTAGCATAAGTTTAGTACAGAGTTAGGATAACCTGTGCTGAGTTTATTTTGATGCCCTACATTAAGGTCCGGTGTTTTCTTGCCCCCCAAGGGCGAGCATACCTGTAGAGGAGCAAGAAAATATCGGGCGTTGATATAGGGTGTTATAAAATAAGCTTATCAAAACACACACTAAGCTTATACTAAGCTAGCTAAGTATTTTTGTCACCCAGCATCAGTGTCCTGACTTTTCTTCCCTCCCCTAGCCGTCGCTTCAGTGCTGTTGTGCCCCTCCTGTTGAATTTGCCGATGGCAAGCTTCAACATGTGGCGATTTCACGTGCTACTGCAACTGAGAGACATACGGCCCAAGTGAGACCATATCAGAGCGTTCACGGCACCAACTCTTATGAACCAGCTCCCCAAACTCGTAGTCAACATGGTGTTCTGAGCCGTTGCCTCTTGCCAACGGCATATGCAGCTTCCCCTCCCCTCTTTATATTCTCCTCTCCCCTGGCTAATATCGCATTCAATCGTAACAGTCTCTTTCTTCTATTGACTTTTAACTCATGCTCAATGTGCCAACCCACCTTTGAGAGCCCACGATGGCCACGATCGAGCCACGCTTAATTCATCTGCTCAACGAGCCGACGAGGCCGCAACTCAACCATGCCGATCTTCCACCGCTTCATTCCCTTGCATTCCCTTCTGCCACTGATCGATCATTGGCCCCAATCGAGTCCGACACGAATCATCGTGGTGATAGAACAGTTGCTGACACGCAGTCTGTTATCAACGCCGTTGATTTAATAAATTTGACCAACGATGATATTTCCTCAGAACCCCGCAAGGAAGGGAATGTTCAGGATGGAAAGATTGTACTGGCTTCAGGAGGATTCCCGCTACGAGTAGCCTCAAGCGACTCGGATGTTGTAGAACCAACCAAATCAATAAGTCGGTTATTAGGTGACGGTCCCGAGCTTCTTGAAGACGTATCCAACAAAAAGCGACATCGCAGCCTTCATATCAAAGATGAGTTCATGCAGCTCCCGCAGCCACTGAAAAAGCAAAAGGCCGCCCAGCAAGCGCCAGTAATGCCACCGATCATCAATGGGCTTCATGAACCTCCGCCTCACGCCGCATTATTCCCTCCTATATCGTCGGATTCATTTGATAGCAAGGATGGCTCGCATATGAAAGCAATACCCGATTTTACGCAGCCTTCCGCTCAGCCAACTACTCAAGCGTCTCAAGAGGCTGAAACGATTTTGGTAGCTAGCAAAACGCGCAAACGTACCAGCAAACCGAGACGGAAGTGGTCTGAAGAGGAGACAAACCATTTGTTATTGGGCGTCAATCGATATGGGGTCGGAAAGTGGACGAGCATACTTGAAGATACCGACTTCAGGTTCATCAACCGGACGGCTGGGGATCTTAAGGATCGATTCAGGACGTGCTGCCCCGAGGAGCTCCGCAAGTCCAACCGATCGCTTGAACTAGACTCGCCTTCACACCTCGACCGGGGATCGAACCAGACTGGCAAGACAGATGTGCACTTTGAAAGGATATTGATAGATGGAAATGGTGCATCAGCAAAAGACACGACCTCAACGATGCAGCAAGAGGTTGACACTACTCCTAAACAGAAGAGAAGTCGAGCACATCGCAAGAAGATGGAGGATCTTGTGGAGCTCGGTATTCATGGGCCCTTCAAGAAGTCGCATCGCCGCGAACGTCGACCTTTTACTGAGCAAGATGACCTGGAAATTCTTCAAGGTTTAGAGATCCATGGACCCGCTTGGACGAAGATTCACCGTGACCCGCGCTTCCATCTTTCCAGTCGCCAACCAACAGACTTGAGAGACCGAGTACGTAACAAATATTCCAGTGTTTATCAACGAATAGAGAAAAGCAATCTTCAAGCCAGGGAGATGACCCGAGGGAACGATGTTATGGCACCATCTGTGAGAATACCAGCTGGGAACTCATTTGAACCTCGAAAGGCTACAACACTGGAGCCACAAATGAACCAGTCGACCTCGCGCGAAGATCTTTCTCGATGGCCAGCTCAGCAAAAAATCGAGACAGGCGAGATTATGGGAGCAGGCCATGTCTTCGAGTTTGGTGAAACTATGCCACCCCAATTTATGGGCGGTGAAATGGACATCTCGCGCTTGTTGCTTGACGACGCCAAGCTTTCGCCAGCGATTCCACGATTTAGTATTGAGGGCATCCCTGGTCTTTCTCCGCCAGCAAATACCCCACAGAAAAGTCACATCAAAGAAGGAATGCAACACCCGAGTAGGTTGTTAACAGTCGGGTCAGCATCCGTGAGTCGCAGTGCTCTGCATTAATGTTATGAAAATTAGGAGTCAGGAAATTGGTTTGCAATGGCATTGGGCGTACATAGATTGAGACTTGGAACTGGACGAACACACAGCACGCGCTGGTTATCGATCGCTTATTACTTGTATCTGAGGGTATTGTTTGGCGCTGGAAGGAAAGGAAAACACCTTGCCTCACGGGTAAAGATGGGAATGTTTCAAAAGTTGTACATCGTCGATTCTGCGAGCCGCTCATGACATCCAAAAAGGATATCTTATCATACTATTGCCGGTGAATTTGAGTTGAAGATAACTCCAGAAGCACTCATACACGGGATACACCATGCATAATCTTAATGGGAAGATACCTAGTTCAATAAAACATTTGGTCAAAAGGGCTATGTGAGGTTATCTCGAGGCCTTTTCACAATACCCCCCCACCTTAGCCAGCGCTCCATCACGTGATGGATTAGTAACCTCAACGCACAAAAAAAGAAAAAAGAAGGCACTACACAAACTCCCTCTTTCTGAAATAGATTTCCTCGTCCATCCCCCTCATCACCGCCAACAAACCAGCCAACCGACACCATGGCCCGCGGAATGTAAGTGGAATATCAAGGAGAACGATCACCAATGCGATTGAAAGGAATCGTGATTTGGGTTTATCTCTCCTGTTGTCCCGTTATGAGAACCAGGATCTGACCGTCTCGATAGCAAGAAGCACCAGAAGCGCCTCAGCGCCCCCTCGCACTGGCTGCTTGACAAGCTGTCCGGCACCTACGCTCCCAAGCCTTCTGCCGGTCCTCACAAGCTCCGCGACTGCATGCCCTTGATCGTCTTCATCCGAAACCGCCTCAAGTATGCTCTCAACTACCGCGAGACCAAGGCCATCCTGATGCAGCGACTGGTCAAGGTCGACGGCAAGGTCCGCACCGATTCCACCTACCCCTCCGGTTTCATGGACGTCATCACCATCGAGAAGACTGGCGAGAACTTCCGTCTTGTCTACGATACCAAGGGCCGATTCACCGTCCACCGAATCCAGGCTGAGGAGGCTGAGTACAAGCTTGGCAAGGTCAAGCGTGTCCAGCTTGGTCGCGGTGGAATCCCATTCTTGGTCACGCACGATGCACGAACGTGAGTTCTGTCAGACATCATTCAGCCGTTGGATCAAGCTTTGGTCGATTCAAGTCACCCGACAAGACAGGAGCTTTATTTGACGGCTGTATGTAAAACCCAAATATCCCCTTGCTAACGAATTCTCACAGCATCCGCTACCCTGACCCTCTGATCAAGGTCAACGACACTGTCAAGATTGACCTCGCCACTGGCAAGATCACTGACTTCATCAAGTTCGACACTGGTGCCGTCGTCATGGTCACTGGTGGTCGTAACATGGGTCGTGTTGGTGTTATCACTCACCGTGAGCGCCATGATGGAGGTTTCAACATTGTCCACGTCAAGGATGCCATTGACAACAGCTTTGCTACCCGTGAGAGCAACGTTTTCGTCATCGGCCAGGACAAGCCCTGGATCTCTCTGCCCAAGGGCAAGGGTGTCAAGCTCACCATCGCTGAGGAGCGTGATCGCCGACGTGCTTACGCCATCTCTCACTAAATTGTGGATTTGCGATTGGAATGGGAAAAAATGGCATGTGGAATGGAGTCTCGGATTTGACGTTTGCTTTGCGGCTTTAACTACCCTGAAGATAGCCGGCCCACATGAGGCTACGATAAAAGATGAATTTGAGCCCAACAAAAGTGTCGATTCTTGACAGATGTCTCTCTCGAACTGTGATGGAAGTGAACTGAAGATGCTGCCGTTAATCTTGTAGCACGCCAGGAAAAACCTCACTGCCATTCGTGCTTTTCACAACTACGATAATATATCTCAACACTCTGCCAGCACCCATACACGTAGCTCGTGTTTCTTTCGAACATCATGGTTGTCAAGGAGTAATGTGAGGAACAAAGCTGACTGGTAGGGCTGCATTGCACAAGAATTCGCGTTCAAGGTAATGACGAAAACAGCCTGTGTACGAAAGTGCTCATGGGTTACATCCAATGGTTGTCGGACTATCAGTTGACCTCCAAATGCGTATGTAAAGTTGTGGCTGTGTTACAGTTTTGCTGACCGAGGAGGGGAGGATTCGGATGTAGGCGAATTCCTATTCCTTAACCACCCCACGTTTACATAGGAGAATGTTGGTTGTTTGCAAATGACTTGTCTCTCGAATTGAGTTTCGTCGATTATTCCCCAACTTCTCCATCGAGCTAGTTGTTCCATCCCACTGAATGAAGCTCTTGAACCCCCAAACTGCGAATAGCACCAAGTGGGCTCGGCTTCTTTCCCCCCTCTCCACACTCCCACGGTACATGCTGTATGCCGCGAAACTGCTGGTTCGGCGAGCAAACCGAGTCATTTAGGAGCGGGGAAATCCATCGTAAATCTAGGGTACCGAATCGTAATTACGCATGAGGTCAAAATGCATGACTAACAAGAACTGCAGTCGCCTGTCGAATCCTCCTCAGCCATGATGCAGTTGGCTGCACTCCCTGAAGCTGCGATTCGACAATGCGAGTCTCACGCGCGCTGTTCCTGTGATGTGCATGTGGGCGTAATGCGTGGGGAGCCTCAAACCATCCATGCGACTGATGAATTTCTTGTTACAGTAAGACCGCACACGCACAAGGTCCATGAAAGATGGATCGTGTGCCCCCTCACCATTACCTAGACAGACCCGCTAGGCTCAACATGCTATGGGAAAAGCCATGCTAAGACCCATCGGCTACGCGGTGCCCAAGGATTGCATCAGCGAGACTATGCTTACAAGAGAAGCCGTTTGAATTTAGATTTCTACTTTGCTGGATATGCCCCACGTGCGCCGATGATGTTCTTGAAACTAGGTAGGTAAGGTACTTATAAGTGAGTGTCAGCCCCATCGTGGCCACATCTAGTTCCGGAATTCCACTTCGCGAGGCCATCTCTCTTGGTTGTTTGAATTGAAGGATTCTTGTCCTACTTTCCCCTTCTCACTTGTTTGCGGATACTCGGTACAGATTCGCTTAGATGCGGCAGAGCCTCCTGTTCGTGATCAAAACATTGCTCGCAAGAGCCATATTACGCAACGAACTCGTTGAAGTTTGTTGATTGGAGGAAAACCAGCAGTCTTTGGGCCTTGAATCGATACTGGTTTTCGGTCAATTGCGGATCGGGCCACCTGAGTCATAAACTTATAGGTTTCTTTAACATTAGGTTCAAATGTTTACCAGCAGGACCTCGACAAGAACTCTATTGGGCCGCTGTGCCCAAAGAACGGAGTTTCGACGAGGCCTTACCGTCTCTTCTGGCCTTCGTTCTCGCATTGCCCATGCTTCTGCTCAGAGAGAACCAAGGAATAACCAGGGATGGTCGCGACCAAAGGTTTTGGCAGTAGCCATTGGAGCTGGTGCTCTTGGATGGGGGCTTGCCAGCATGAACGAAAGTAAAGGCACTGGAAAATCTACATGGGGTCGATCGGTTGCGTCTCATTATGCTACGTTGCCCGAGATGGAGAAGGTAGAATACCTGCATATTCTCATGCCCTCAGGCTAATCTTAAAACAGGCGATCAAACGAATCGAAAACGAGGTTGGAGTAGAAGGCTTCATTTCGACGGATCCCGAAGATCTGCTGGCACATGGCTACTCAGAATGGTCTACGGTCAACCCTGATACTTTGCCAGTGGCTGTGGCATATCCTAGAACAACCGAGCAAGTGTCTGTGATAGCTCGAATATGTCATGAGCATCGCGTTCCTATCATCCCCTATTCCGGAGGCTCAAGCTTGGAAGGCAATTTTTCTGCTCCTTACGGAGGGATCAGTGTGGATTTTGCGTATATGGACCAGATCATTCAGTTTAACAAAGATGATATGGATATTGTGGTCCAGCCAAGTATTGGCTGGCAAGACCTAAACGCAAAGTTGTTGGCTATGGATAGTGGCCTTTTCTTTCCTGTCGATCCTGGTATGTGACTAACAAGCATGGAGCGCCAGTGATATCGCAGCACTGACGACTATTTCCAGGCCCATCAGCGAAGATAGGAGGTATGATTGGAACGAATTGCTCTGGAACAAATGCTGTAAGATATGGTACAATGAAGGATTGGGTCATTAACTTGACCGTTGTCCTGTCCGACGGGCGTATTATCAAAACCAGACGAAGGCCGCGAAAGTCATCTGCTGGATACAATCTGAACGGACTGTTTGTTGGCTCCGAAGGCACACTAGGGATTGTCACGGAAGGTATAGCAAGGCGTATCCAAGTAAATGAAAGGTTTACTAACGCTCACAGCTACACTCAAGCTGGCTGTCATTCCAGAGCAGTATTCGGTTGCTGTTGTTACATTTCCTACCATTCGAGATGCCGCCGATGCGGCAGCTGGCGTCATGCAAGCCGGTGTCCCCGTCGCGGCGATGGAGATCATGGATGAAGTTCAAATGCGAGTCATCAACCTTGGTGGTGCTACGAAACCGCGGGTCTGGAAGGAATTGCCAACGCTGTTTTTCAAGTTCTCAGGTACAAAAGACGGCGTGAAAGACAACATCAACAGGGTAAAGAAAATTGCGGCGGCAAACAAGGGTGGAAGTTTCGAGTTTGCTCGGGATGCTGCTGAGCAACAGTTGCTCTGGTCTGCTAGGAAAGAGTCCCTTTGGTCTATGCTCTCTCTCCGAAAAACTGGTGACGATGTTTGTGAGTACCACAGTGTCGCAATTAACATACTACCTGTCGATTTGGTCGCTGATTTATGATGACACAGGGAGCACCGATGTAGCTGTTCCGTTCAGCCGGCTGGCTGATATCATAGAGGTCAGCAAGAAAGAGATGGATGAGCTTGGTCTCTTCGCCAGCATCTTGGGACATGTGGGAGACGGGAACTTCCATGAAAGTATCATGTATAACAAGAACGTCCCTGGTGAGCGCCAAAAAGTCGAAGCTTGCGTCAAGAACATGGTGAAACGAGCGCTAGACATGGATGGGACATGTACAGGAGAGCATTCCATCGGCTGGGGCAAAAAGGAGAGCCTCCTCTGGGAAGTTGGACCAGAGACTCTGGAAGTTATGGCAGCTGTGAAGAAGGCTTTCGACCCCGAATGGATCTTGAATCCTGGAAAGATCATGGATGTGCCTTGGGAGAACACTCTGTATCCTGGGTCAAATACCGCGGTGACACCAAACCGTGTGGTGAAAGGCTTGGTCTAAGACAGGAGCTATCGCTGTGTTTCTACGTAGCTCCTCAGACTAGGTAGTGGGTTAGCAACAACCTAATCATAACTGTATATAGAGACTTGCAGTATAGATTGATGCTTCTAGGGATCGCTTGCAGCCTTGCTTGCAACACGGCAGCCGTGGTTATTGTGTTGAGTAAACATTGCAAGACCAACCCAAGTCACAGCTATAGGTTGAGAGAGCTACTAATGCAGCCAAATACCCAGGCATCAATACAAAATCAAGGTACACTGCAATACGGCGTCTTATACTAGGTACAGAAACACTTGACAGAGGTGGTGCTGCCGTAGCAATCAGGAAGTGCATTAAATCCAAGCGAACAAACCATTTACACAACGGCACCTGTACTCAGGAAAGCGAGCAAATACTTAACTGTTTGCTGATCTCGGCAAACTTGATTCCATAACTAGGCTTCCTACATTGCTCTCTCAAACAACACCAAACGCCAACAAACACCAACGGATAGCTGCGTTCAAATTTCATCCGACCTGAAACCCTTTACCTCTCTCCTAGAATTTCGACATTAGGTACCGTGCTTACCTTAGCAGCTTGATTCACTGCTTCTTATGACCTCCTAGTTCGATTTTCTTTCCTTGTTTACTGCAGCACCTGCAGCAGGAGGCATCTGCAATCTCGGGCTTCTAGAAAATGCCTGCTCTCTGAATCACTGCACAACACTCGCCCCTTGTCATCGCATATCACCACGCCAAGTGAAAAACTTCATCTTCCTCGATCCAAGAAACTCTTGTTATTCCTAGGGCATCATTTGATCGACAAAGGTAAATTCTTTCCAAGATATCACTACTACTTGGGCTCGTCGTCGAGGAAGCCGCTTTTACTAAAAACCTCTCCAGATTACGGGGATAGAAATTGAACATGAGCTCCAAACGCCCCCCCGACGGACTCTCGAAAGGGTTCCAACCAAGCCCCAAGCACCAGCGAAGATCGAAGAGATGCAGGCCAGGCAGACCGAAGGTTCGACGAAACCATGCAGTCAACGTTGATGGCCTTGCTCCTCAGCTCCACGAACAATGGAAAGCATGGCCTGAACTCACGATACATCTTGAGGGATTGCCAACTTCAGTCACCACTTCAAATCTCTGGGACTGGTTCTCTCACGAGGGAGAAATTGCATACATGGATATCTATGAGACGCAAAGAAACCCGAACGTCAGTAACGCCAAAATCAGGTTCGAGCCACCGCCAGAGCGAAACTTTTGGTACTCGGGCGGTTATATTGTTCGCCATCCCGATAAAAAACAACATCCCAAAGAGTTTGAGATTTCTATAAAGCTTTCCAGTCACGCACCTCCAGGTTTTCTGAAAAGCCCAGTACATCCTGACCGGACTTGTCCTGTAAAACTGACACTCTATCCCGCGGCCATACATTTCGGGAGCCTGACAGGGGAGAACTCAATGAAGATCATGAAGTCTATCCCTGGGATGGCCAATGGACGAAGTCTTAAACTCGAGCTCAGCCCGAAATACCAGAAACTGACTGCGTTCTTCTCCATACCAAGTGTTGTGGGAGGGAACAGAACTGAAAGACAACACAAAGTTGTTATTGACTTTGCGAGTATGAAGAATGTTTACCAAACAGCGGCCGTTGATAATTGCTGCACTCTTGTTGTTCCCCTCAAGACACCACCTCAGTACTATTGGAAGGCACCTGATATCCATTCGACCTTTTCCGACGAAGTCAAGAATTGGAGTGTGATGGAGAGCTGGAACCGTGCCACAAACATTGTCCAGCATGCTGGCCTTCCCATGATGCACCCGGTCACTCTCCACAACGATTTCAAAGATCCCGAATTCGTCGATATTGGCCGATGGACCACCCTTGGCTTCGTTTTGGATGGGGGGACTGAAATAGCAAGCCAGGTCAATCAGCAATTAGTGACCATCCTAGACGACTTCAACATCTCCACCAAAGTTCAAGATGATTTCAAAACTGCGCATGGAACAAAAGCAAAGATGTGGGAATATATAGACCACCAGGCTCCGACCGAAGGGCACAACGCTCTTCAGATGCTTCAGTACTCCCCGGATTCGGTTATTCATCTACCTTTCGATATTAGGTACCAGCTTGAAGTTTGTCTTTCACGCGGCTATCTAAACGAACACATGATAGGGAGGGAGTTCTTGGAGAGACTTGCGAACATGAAGCCAGCCAAAGCCAGGCTTTGTCTCGAAACTGTGGCTGATAGCGCTCAAGTTGTGGTCGACCCAATGGCTATTTTGGAGGAGTCTCAGCTCGATGGCTCCATAATCATGTCAAGAACCCCTTCTCACTGTTGTCTCATCCGTAAAGCAGTCATCACGCCAACAACCATTCGCTATACAACACCTACTGTGGAGATGTCCAACCGCGTCATGCGTCGCTACAAGCATTATGAGGATCGCTTCCTCAAAATCCAGTTCACCGAAGAGATGGAAAAGGGGAGGATTGCGGTAAACAAGGACCAAAATGATGAAATCTACAAAAGGGTGCTTCGTTCAATGTATAAAGGCGTCCGTATCGGCGATCGTCTTTACGAATTCCTTGCCTTTGGCAACTCGCAGCTCAGAGTCAACGGCGCTTACTTCTTTTGTCCCACGGAGCACTTATCATGCGATGATATCCGCAGGTGGATGGGCCAGTTTGGCCATATAAAGGTTGTGGCGAAGTATGCTGCTCGCCTAGGTCAATGTTTCTCTACCACACGAGAGCTTCATGCAATTTCGGCGCCGGGGACCCGACAGATACCTGACATTGAGAGGAACGGCTACTGCTTCACCGACGGCATCGGCAAGATATCTTCGTTCCTGGCGCAGCTTATCAGCGAAGACATGATTCTTGATGTTATTGCGCAACCCTCCGCCTTCCAGTTTCGCATGGGTGGCTGTAAAGGGGTTCTCGCCATTTGGCCCAACGACACTAAAGTCATGGAAGTACATATTCGCGAATCCCAGAAGAAGTTCGAGTCAGATTCCAAAGGTCTCGAAATTATCCGCAGTGCAGCAATGGCGACAGCAACCCTCAACAGACAAACAATCACCATTCTTGAATGTCTTGGGGTCCCCATCGCTTCCTTCACTAACCTACTTGACCACCAACTAAGGTCGTATGAGCTGGCCATGGAGGACAATGATGTTGCAATAGACATGTTGACCAAATTTGTTGACGAGAACAACATCTCTGACCTGCTCAGGGCTGGCTTCAGAACAGATTGTCTGCAGGAACCATTCGTTGTTAACGTACTTAAACTTTGGAGGTCTTGGTCCTTGAAGCTACTCAAGGAGAAAGCAAGGATTCAGGTGCAGAAAAGTGCCTTCGTCCTTGGCTGCGTCGATGAAACTGGCACTCTCAGAGGTCACTCATCCGAAACTGAAGGCTCCGAAGATAAAGATATCGATAGACTTCCGCAAATCTTCATTCAGCTGAGCGACGCAACGCACTATAACAAGACTCAGGTCATCAGCGGCGTATGCATAATTGGACGCAACCCTTCGCTGCACCCGGGAGACATTCGGGTTGTTGAAGCGGTGGACTGTCCAGCCCTGCATCATCTGAGGGATGTCGTTGTATTTCCCTCCACTGGCGATCAGCCCGTTCCTAACATGCTTTCTGGTGGTGACCTTGACGGCGATGACTTCTTTGTAATATGGGAGCCGACTTTGGTTCCAAAAAAGTGGAATTATCCGCCCATGAACTACTCGGCACCCAAACCCATTGAGCTCAATCGTGATGTCACGGTCGACGATCTCAGGAACTTCTTCGTCAAGTACCTGAAGAACGATAAACTGCCGCTCATTGCAACATCTCATCTAGCATTTTCAGACGAACTTGGCCCAATGTCACCAAAATGTAAGTCGCGGTAGTGCTCACATATCAAAGTCTTATGCTAACCCCGTTTCAAGGTCTCGAACTTGCAGAGCTGCACTCCAAAGCGGTGGACTATCCGAAGACAGGCGACCCGGCGGTATTGAGACGAGATCAACAACCTCGGAAGTGGCCCCATTTCATGGAGAAGAAGAACAGCTACACCTCCAGGAAAGCTCTTGGTGTCATATTTGACAAAGTGAAAGGCAAGCAAGTCAAGTTCGACCCTATCTGGGACAGTCCGTTTGACCAACGGATCATCAACAAGTTTGAACTCGACCGAGACATACTCAAATCTGCAAGAAAGATCAAGACACAATACGATACGTCTGTGCGCCGACTACTGAGCCAACATGCACTCAAGACTGAATTTGAACTCTGGACTGGCTTTGCCATGTCGAGACCTGCTGTTGGTTCAGACTACAAAGTTCAGGAGGAGCTTCGTCGCGAGTACAATCATCTCAAGGCAGCGTTTCGACAGGTATGCATCGATACTGCAGGTTCTAAAAGTGCAGAGAAACTCGAACCCTTTGTCGCAGCCATGTACAAGGTAACCGACGAGGAAATGAAGATTGCACTATACGAGCACCACCGAGGAGTCATCAACGACGCGGGGACCATCTTGCAACCGCGCAGGCTAGAACCAAAGTCAATGCCTCTGATTAGTTTCCCCTGGATCTTCCATAAGGAGATGTGTCGTATCGCAAACTCCAGTAACCTTGAACTGAGATCTCCGCTTGCAGCGGGACCTTGTCAAGGAGAAATGCCAGGGGTTGGCGAGCACCTTGAGCCAACAGTGAAGAATGATGACACGCCTGCAAAACAAGAGGTCCTCGAGGTATCTGAGCTGGCGCCTGAGGTCCATTCTCACCTTCCGGATGGCACAGTCCTTCATCGAGGACAGCCACTGGCTATTTTCCCTGTGGAAGATGATGCGGTCTCTGAGGGAGATGACGACTTCCCTAGCGGTATTCCTGGTTCAGAACAATCATCCTCTGCTGGAAACGATTCTGGAATGATCAGTGACGAACATCCAGATCTTTCATCACAGAATGACATGGAAGTTGAAGTTCCGAGTGAGTGTGTCGTTGAAGACGATACAGACTCGATCTACAGTGATGATATGGAGGAAGGCGAAGAAGAAGAAGAAGCCATGGATCGCTTGGTCAACCTCATGAGTCAGGTGGATGCTAAGTGACCATAGGTGGAAGAATGGACCGTTGGAACTGTGAGGACGATGGCGGACCAGCCAGCTAGTAAGGGCAAGGGAGACAGTAAACTCAGTAGTACAACCAACCAAAGTCTTGGGACTACCAGGTTACTTAGGCCAATAATCAAATTCATTGTCTGATGCAAAGATCCGTCCGTAAAACCCATTTTTCACCTGCAGTAACCTCTCGTCCTTCGTGCTAAGTTCAAGTAATTAGTAATTTTTATAGGGTCAAGATTCATGTAGCACCGGATGTCTGCCTAATCAAAGATGGCAAAAAGGTGAAGGGAGCTTCTTACCAGTAGACAATCGTCTCCGTGCTTGTGCAAAAGCAATGTGCCAGTTTCGAGAGGAACCACGATCTCTTCTCGAGACGACCTTCGATCTCTTGGGTAAAATACAGTCTCACCCCCAACACAGCCCTCAGAAGCGGATGTCAAATAGAGCAACAAGGTCCACGTGGTTCTCACTGGTAGTGGAGGATTCGAGGGCAACGTCAGGTTGTTCGAGTCGTCATCTGGTGGGTGGAACACACCTTGGTCAGCTAAGGTGCGTATGTCGAGTGAGAAGTAGGAGCCATAAGATGGATGGATGGGTGCTAATTATGGAACGATTGTGAAAGGACAGGCAAGAGGATTGCGTCGTTATGCCATTGAGGTCGCTACGATGGTCGCCGAACGGACAGTTGTGGAGATGAGACTTATAAACGTACAATGGCAGTCAAAAAACTGGCCTTTCGAGTAACGATATACGCGAATGTTAGGATTCAGCCCAACAGGTTCACCACCCCTTCGCAACATTAACTTTGCTGTCTACGACATCGTAATCATTCGACACGAAGCAAGACTTACCACTTCTCGTTAACATCACCGTCTAGCAAGACATCTTTCAACCCAGTTTGCTCCCATAAGCGAGTAGCAAAGTCATAACTATCAACCTGGAAGCGATCGTTGACACGAACTGCTTCGCCCCGCTTGGGACGACCTGGCGTTGTTTGTAGAGGAAGAGTTTTTAGAAAAGTGACATAATCGCGGCAGAGCGACCGCGGGAAAAACGAAGGTATAAGAACAACCTTGGAAGTCAATGGATGGGGTTCAGGAGCCAAGTCAACTATCGGGAGAGAAGGCTTGAAAGCTGGCCATGATGGAGGAACTGGTGGCGGCGGCGCTGAGGCTTCCACTTTGCCTGACTTGGGCCCTTTATTTTTTATTTTCGGCATACTTTTCAAAAAGCAAAGTAGCGAATATTTATGAGGCGGCTGCTGGGCTGAGGGGAGAGAGGTTGCTGATGTTCTTTATTGACTTGGCACGACCTGACATGACATGAGACAGTGATAGTACTTGAGTTATGTAGATATCCACTACATTTGCGACTGCAGTATGCAATGAGCGGGGTATCATATCCCTAAAAGCAATATCGAGCAACTACCTAAGTTAAGGTAAGAGGAAGAAATAGGCGTTCAAGCGATTTACCTTACTATTCCAGCATAGTTATCCGTCACAAACGCTGCCGCCTAATAAAAATCAGCGGATCACGAAAAGAAAAATGCCTATTCTTGCTTCTTTAGTGAGCTCATGGCTCGGGATACCCAGCTCTGATAAAGGTTCAATTCCCCAGGAAAACCAGGAAACTTCACCAGCCCAGCAAAGACCATCTGCCAATGTTTCAATCCCACCAGCAACACCAGCAACACCAACTCCACCAACTATCTCTGCTGCTCCACAAAGAACATCGCCAATAATAGCAGCACAGCAACCGTCATGGGACCGTTCAATTCGACAGTTCGGTCTGCTTCTCACCGGTGCTGGGTTCCTTGCTGCATCTGTTGCTGTATCAAGACGTTCAGTGCTACGAATGCGGCACGATCTCTTGCCCAAATTTTACACTTCCAACCGACACCAAGTCAAGTTTGACTCAGGTGACAGATCTTTACTCGCTGTGCAAGCCCTTGGACTTGCCACGCTCAACGTCATGAGCTTTGGAGTCATGCTGGTTGGAGGCATTTCCTGGGCATTTGATCTCTCCTCGATAGAGGAATTGAGGCAGCGGACACAGGCTGTGACCCGTAGACCCGGGATGGTGAGCCCTGAAGATGAAAAAGCAATGGAGGAGTTGATAGAGGGACTTATGGGCAAGATGGGAATGGAGAAGCCACAGAAGCCTTCAAGCATTCCCCAAGAGGATGAGAAATGATGGCCTTGTGTCGTCTGTTGGGCCAAGGCGCTCCTCGATACTACAAAACTGAGCAGAGCTTGGCGTGTAAGATACGATGTATTCATATTATGCGAGATGGAATATTCCAATCACAAAACGACTCCTGCCTGAAGAACATTGGGCATTCAATCAGTCGTATTGAAATATCATACAGTAAATTTGCCCCAGAAGGAGGGATCCCACATAGTAAACATGCAGCGTAAGCTCTTCATTAATCATACGCAAAGTAAATAATCCCTAAAGCACTAGCGAGCCAAAAACCATCCTAGACACCATCCGCCATCCATCATGCCCGCCTCCCAAGCCTTGCAAACCATTACAGTACCCAGACCCTGAACAAATGCTTCAACGCCCCATCAACATGTTTCCAGCTCATGTGTGTATCCTACATTCGCCTCCTTGTTCAACCACCCTACCTTTATAGGAATCCTTTTGTGAAGCTGGGGACCCTACTAAGGCTACTCTTCCTCCTGGGAATATCCACCATGGATGCATCATCTCCTTCGCTGACCCGCCAGGGGCCCATGCGACTCCGGACACTACCCATGACGCTGCCCGACCCCTTGTCGTTGCGGAGGTTCTTCAATCCTGCCAATTCGCGCTCCAGTCGGGCAATTTTCTCTTTTTCTTCTCGGAGTTCACGTTCAGCTCGACGAGCTGACAACTGATTTTGGGACTCCGATGACTGTAGCTCCTCGATGGTCTTCAGAAGCTTCTCGACCTTGTCGCGCATCCTTGAGACATCCTCTGAGAGCTGTGTGTTTTGTTTGTCCTTGCGGTCGATCTGACCTTGCATATCCTTCACGATTCGATCTACGTTTCGAACGGAGCGTTGAGATTTGCTACGCTCAGTCTCCTGGTCTTCGAGCTGTGATTCGAGCTGCATCATGTTAGCTTTGATCGAGTTGTTTAGTGTTACAGGAGCAACTCACCTCCTGAATACGTTTGTGCAGGAACTTGACATCCTGGCTGGCGCTCGAGTAGCCCTTGGTCTCCAGATCAACAAGTTTGAGTTGGGCCTCGTTGAGAATCTTTTCCAAAGATGCCTTTTGTTGTTGCAGTTGAATGCTGTTTTCGCGCTCCACCATGACGTCCTTTTGTACCTCCGTTACTAGGGCTTCTGCTCTGCGCATCTTCTCCACGGCAGCGGCCGCAATATCCTCTTGTTGGGCGAGGTGTGACCTTAGTTCCAGAATCTCCTTGTCCATGTTGGCGGCATTGCGCAGAGAGGGACTGTCCCCCTTCACAAGGTCCTCGAGCCCAGATTTCGCTTCCTCGAGGCGAGCCTCAACATTTCGCTTCTCCCGGAGAAGATGATCCCGTTCTGCTGTGATCTCGTCCACCGACGAGCGGAGAGTACGGACTTGAGAGAGCAATGTCACAACCTTTCCTTGAGCTTCGTTGTGAGCATTTACTGCCTCATCACGAGACGAGGCGACATCTGCCAATGTTGACTCTAAGCGAGCCTTCTCCTTAGACCAGGTTGAGCTGTTGAGGACTTCATCATCCCACTTTGACCTCAATTCATCAAGTTCTTCTCGGAGGCGGGCAATCTCTGCTTGTTTGAAGAGCCTCTCCTCACGAGCAAGATCAAGTTCGTTAGTCAATGTAGCGAACTCGGCCTGATACTTCTTACGAGTCTGCTCCATACTCGATTCCTTGTCCTCGATCTCCATGGCTCTCTGGTTACGGTAGTCCTCGAGTTCGTGCTGAAGTCTCTTCTTAGCCTGAGTGGCAGCTGCCAAATCTGTAGAAATATCCTCAACCTTCTCCTCAAGGCGTTGGTTCTGGCGTTGGAGATCCTCAATGCTGGCATCCATCTTCTCACGTTCTGCCATGACCTCCGCATATGTGTCTTCGGCTTCCTTTGCTTGGGATTTGGCAAACTGTTCGGCACGGCTAGCTTTGAGAACAGCGATCTCGGCTTGTTCGAGCTTGCTGAAGTATTCGTCTGCTCGGCTCTTGTACATTTCAAGACTTGAAGAAACATCTGCAAACTTCGAGGTTTCTGCATCGAGACGAATCTGAAGATCTGCAAACTCTTGGAGAAGCTGATTTCGATTCTGTGCCTCTTGCTCTCTTGCTAGAGTCATTTCTTGCAGGTCAGACTTGACATCACGGAGCTCGACTTCGGCTTTGGCGCGATCGTGTCGTAGTCGCTCGAAGTGTCCCTTGATATCGGTCAACTCCGCCACGGCGTCTTTGTGACTATGAACCAAGGCTCGACGAGAGTCTTCTTGGCTATTCAGGACCTCCAAAATTTCTTCGTGTGTGCGTGTCTGTACATCCCGTAATGAAAGCTGTCCGGATCGAATTGTGCGCTCCAAAGCAGATACCTTCTTATTAGAGTCATCGAGCATTTCATGAAGACGAGTATTGACCATCTCAAGTTTTTGAATGCGACGCAAAGATGGGCTTTGGTCGTCGTAATTCTCAGGTATAGGCGTGCTTCGATCGATCTGGCTCTGTAAGTGACGATTTTGCATTTCCTTAAGTTGAAGCTGATTCTGAAGTTCCTCGACTTCGGCTTTCAAATCCATACGGTTGTTGATGTTGAGTGTGTCGATGGTTCGATCGGAACGTGTTGAATCTTGAAGATGGTCGAGATCCTGGAAGCGCCGGGTGGGTGTGGAAGTATTTGAGTAATTGCGAGCATGAAGCTTAGCTGCCCTCTTCTGAGTTGGTGACCCTTGGAAGGGCGCCTCATTCAGCTGGATCTCTTCGAGCTTGGGCCGGCTAGCAGGGTCATTCCTCGACGCTCGCATTTCACTCAG